CTGTTTAATCAACTGGGTCAACTTTGCTTTCTCGGAAAACTTAATCGATAATGTTGAATTGGATATTGTTGATGATTGATTCATGTAATTTTACTTGAAAAGATTTAATTTTGAAGCATGGTTATTGCTCATAGAACTGTTTAATCAACTGGGACTACTTGGCTTTCTCGGAAAACTTAATGGATAATGTTGAATTAGATATTGATGATTATTGATTCATGTAATTTTACAATTTTACTTGAAAATATTTGATTTTGAAACAGGTGTATTGCTCATAGAATTGTTTAATCAACTGGGTCTGCTTGACTTTCTCGGAAAACTTAATGGATAATGTTGAATTAGATATTGATGATGATTGATTCATGTAATTTTACAATTTTACTTGAAAAGATTTGATTTTGAAACATGTGTATTGCTTATAGAACTGTTTAATCAACTGGATCTACTTTACTTTCTCGGAAAACTTAATGGATAATGTTGAATTAGATATTTTTGATGATTGATTTATGTAATTTTACTCGAAAAGATTTAATTTTGAAACATGTGTATTGCTCATAGAACTGTTTAATCAGCCAAGTCTACTTGACTTTATTGGATGTTGAATTAGATATTGTTTATGATTGATTCATTTAATTTTACTTGAAAAGATTTAATTTTGAAACATGGGAATTGCTCATAGAACTGTTTAATCAATTGTGTGTAATTAGGTTTCTGAGAGTTGCTGTTATGTTATGTATTTGCACTAGTACTGAGGCTCCAGGTTACTGGTTAAATTTGCCTGGTTGCTTAATCTTAATGTGCCAAATCCATGTTTGGGATCCGCTTTGCAGCATGGACTATATGCCCTGTTTCTGCTGCCTGTAATGCCCATACATTTTGTTTAGATGTTTTTTCTTCATTTGTAATTAATGTTAACTTTCAGAAGAAGGAAAAAAAAAATATATATATATATATATATTGTGAACTGATCGTATTTTAACTAGAATCATACAGCTTTGTATTGATCATCACCATGGATTGTTTACTCTAGCATGTAGTTGTGGTATGATATATATGGAGTTTGTATGGAAACTTTAAGTCTCTCCACATTAAAGTCCAAGTATGTTGGTGCTTTGCAGGATAAGAAGTCATTGAAGTTGGGGCCTGAAGATAGTTTGCATCTAGAGGGATTTGCCTTGAATGTCTTTGCAAAGGCAGACAAACAAGATCGTGCTGGACGAGCGGACTTGTAAGTAAATCTTTTGTCTTATTAGATCGTATTTTATCTACGTGTTTGAGGCTTTCCGGTTTGGAGGTTTGAGGAACTTATGAAACTTGGCTCATTTAATGAGCCGATTGACGTATTTATAGTTTTGGTTTAACTGTATTTTGTGTTACCTTCTAAATTATGAAAAGTTTTGCCAATTGCAACATTAGACCCTTGTACTTTACTTTAGTAATGGAGCTTGGTACAGGAATACAGCAAAGACATTTTATGCTGCTAGCATTTTCTTCGAGATTATAAATCAGTTTGGTCCTCTTCAGCCTGATGTGAGTTCCTAGTTGTTATACTCACGTAAAAAGCTTGTGCTTCCAATGTTTATTTCTTCTTTTGTGCTGCTGATCCGATACTTGTACCGTATCATGTGAGTGGTGTTATTTTTAATTTGGTTGTCTACAGCTTGAGCAGAAACAGAAGTATGCAGTCTGGAAAGCTGCTGATATTAGGAAAGCTGTGAAAGAAGGAAGGAAGCCCAACCCTGGCCCTCCTAATGGCGATGAAGATTTGTCGATTCCATCAAGTACACCTAGTGCTGCATATGTATGTTTCTAAACAGAACAGTGCTTTAGTCTTTAGCAATATATGAACAATGGCAATACCTTGCCTTTCTCATCTCTATCAGTGGCAATACCTTGACTGTATAAACAGAATGTCACTGATGGATAACTAAGTCTTTCGGGATAATCATCATCTATGTTTATCTTTGTAGGATCTTGGACCAAGTGAACCTGCAGTTACCAGTCATAGACAAGATTCTGATCTATCACCTCAGCTCCATGATGAAGAAAATAACCAGCACTATAATAACATTCCACCACCCCCTCAGTTCCATGATAAGATTGACAGGCAGCATTCATCAAATGTTTCACCATCGCCTCCTTCATATCCTTCTGCCAGTTACCCTTCTCATGATCAATCCTATCCACAGGAACCCCAACAGCATTTTCATCCACCACCTCCCACAAGCAGATCAGAAAATCCTACATATCCTTATTCATACCACCATCAACCCTATCCACAAGAACCACAACAGCATTTGTCACATAGTTACCCATCCCATGAAGCTCCCTCTTATACATATCCTAATTTTCAGTCTTATCCAAGTTTCTCAGAGAGTAGTTTACCCTCTACCACATCACATTATCCTTCTTACTATCAAGGTTCCGAGACTCCTTACACTCCCCAGTCAGCTCCTCCAGCTACAAGCTATCCGTCAACGGCCCAATACTCTTCAAGTAGCAAAAACGGGACAGTCTCGGAACCTGCACCAACTGCTTCTCAAAAATACCAATATGACAGCAATTACCAGCCACCACCTGAGAAAATTGCTGAAGCACACAAGGCTGCAAGGTTTGCAGTTGGAGCATTAGCATTTGATGATGTATCAGTTGCAGTAGAGCACTTAAAAAAATCACTTGAATTGCTGACAAATCCATCGGCCAGTCAGTAAGTTTGTTTTCCCCGAGTAGACAGATTCACCTGGTTTTTCTTTGAACCATATGGTCTTGGTTTGTAAAGGTATTATTAGGAGTTCGGAGATTATGAACGTTGTTACTTGCCATGTAATTCTCAGCATCACCTTTCATTTTCATTTGAGAATAAGAAAAGAAAGGGTAAAAGGAGGATGGGAAGTCAATTCGCATAACTAAAATCAAATGCAAATCGAAATCATGCTGTCAGTTTTAAGAGGTGTTATTTAATTTAAAGTTTAAATTTATATTCAGCCATTTAAAATCTTTGCTCTGCTTCTTTTGATGCCAAGATTTACCATGTTCTTCTATCTTCCAGCTATTTATGTTCATTCTTTTCTTTGGGGACAACATATGGTACCAAGGCAATAGCTAGCAACGATCCTCCAATGTCCAAGCTGCAATGATTTTACCTGTTTTTACTTGTTTTAACATTAACAGTTATGCAAATATCTTGAAAAATACTCGCATAATAAATATCAAAAAAGTTTTTTAATAAATTATAATTTTACCTCCTTCTTTATCTTCCTCTTTTATCTTCCTTTCTTTCTTTTATGCCTAGTTGAATCTGTTTTTTATTTTTTATGCTTTTGGAAATTCATTTATGAGAATAAAGCATAATTTGTGAAAATTTATTTTAAAAAATTATGATATATTTTTGGAAATGAATTTTTAAAATTTATGTTATATTTTCGGAAGTAAAATTTTTCAAAAATAAACTTTTGAAAATCTTAAAAATTTTTAAAAATTCATTTTCGCAAACCTTAAAAGATTTTTCGAAAACGAAAATAAATTTTTGAAAATCTTAAAAGCTTTTTGCAAATTGATTTCTGAAAGTATTTAAAGTTTTTCGAAAATACATTTATGAGAGGTCTTTTTAAAAGTTTATTTTCAAGAAATTTGAATTATGCAAAATTTATTTTCGCATGTATTTAAATCAAATCAAACAAAATAAATCTTGAAATGAGTAATTGAATTGCAATATACGAAATGGATATACATACTTGAACAAGAAAATTGCCCTTCATCCTTCATTTGCCTCAGTTCCTAACTGACTTCGCCTTTCAATTTCTTCCATAAATTTAGCTGCAGGAAGAACTTCACATGGGCCTTGAATCGAGCTTGCCATTACAGTGCTAAACTGATCGATAATCAAGTAGAGCAAAAATGACAACCGACTGTTCAATAAGTGAAACAAGATACAAAAATTAACCACGTCAGCAAAATTAAGTATAATAGAAAAAGAAATGTTCAAAAATAAATATAATAGATAAAGGATACGTAATACTTTATTTTTAATTGTGAAGTTTTATTAATAGTGTTTGAAATGATAAATATATAGATATAATCAAGTCGAATCGAGTTGATATAGTAAAAAACTTAAGCTTAACTCAAAATTTAACTCGTGCTCGATTGATTTTTAATTTTCAAGTTTGAATTCGACTTAAGATAAAAATTAAACTATTTGAACTGTTCGATTAAGCTCATTTAATTAAAATAAGCTCAATTATCATGCTTGATTTTAAGGTCTATTATGTGTTGGAATTTGAGTTAAAACTTGAATTGATATAAATAAGGATAAAATAATAATTTTTTAATTAAAATAATAAAAATATATTAAAATTTAAAAACTTAATTAAATTTACAAGTTATTCTAGTAGGATATTAAGATGCTCAAATGTTGCTCACTCAATAAATTAAGCTATTCGAACTCAACTCAATAATGATTGAATTGAATTAAAGTTTTATCTTAATCGAACTTAATAATTTACGAGTATTAATATACTATTTACATCATAAATAATTTTGTATATATTTTTATTTGACATTAGTATTTTGATTTTTGAAGTATAATTTAGTCGATAATTTCTATATTTTTATTGAAATTTTAAATTGAAATATTTTCTTTATTGAAAACAAAATTGATATTTTATTTAATTCGATGTAATTGTAAAACTCCACCCAACCATTACAGTTTGACTGATGGCAAATAGGTTGGGCTCAGAGCCCTAGGTTCAGTGATGGGCTAGACAGACCAACGCATCAATCTTTTTCTTTTTTGGGCCTTTAACCAGCTCACTCTTATGAGTCCGATAATTTTAAATCTTATATGAAATTAATACAAATAAAAATATAAAAATGATACGATTTACAAGTTTGAAAAAAAAATTATATATAAATATATATATATATAATTAGTAAAAATTAAAATGTATTCAGTATTTAATTAATATAAATTACAATACGATAATTTTTATATTTTACTCTCGTTTGATACAAAAAAATATATAATACCTTAAAAAGACACCATTTTAACAAGAATTAAACCACATTTACTTCTCCCAACTTTAATATCTTTTCAATTTGCACTAAAAATTACAAAAAAATTTGACACAACCAAGAAAACTTAAAAAAATTAAACATAAAGGGGATATATTATGAAAATTCTTTTTCAGCTTTCACTTGCAAATAATTTTTATGAACACAACACTTAACACAGTTGATTTTTGTATGCACATCAAGCTGTTACCAATAAATTGGTAGCTGGTTGAGATTGTATGATTCATATCTGTCTGTGAAGCTCAAATCGCTGAGAACTTTAACCTTTGAATCAAGCCGGACAATGTCAGCATTCTGAAGTGTAAAACCATGGGGCAGTGGCAAAGGAAACCCTGTGCTAAGATGTGAGTTCAGATATGGCATGAAGAAGGTCTCAAGGATTGTTGACATTGCAGCCTATACACAATATTCATCAGCCTTCAGAATAGATGGTTACAAATCAATAAAATAAATATGTTTTTAAAGTATTGAATGCACAATCTAGCAGTTATTTTGATGTTTTGGATTGATTACGGATCTGATAATTTTGACTCTATATGAAAATGATAAAAAAAAAAAAAAAGTTACACGATTTAAAATTTTGATAAAAACCGTACATGAGTTTGGCCAAAAAACAAAAAATATGTTTCACCTTTGTCATATCGACGTTAATTATGAGACAATAATTTTCATATTTTACACGTATTAGATATGAAATAAATATGATCTAGATATACGAATTGTTAGGTCTACGGATTATACCTGAACAAGATGCATTTGAAGATTACCAATGTTACTCCACTTCAAATTTTCTGTAAAGTTGACCAGCCTAATGCTACCAGCAAGATTATTCCCATATATTTCTGCAGAACAAGATGCACTTATCACCTGCATCAACCAAATACATAATAGTAATTATTCATGACCAACTCAATCTCTGTACAATCACAATTGCCTGAAAGCTTGCTAAAAAAAATGAAACAAAAATTCGGTTTCCTAAGTTCTTAACAAACAGTTCATGAACATGTTCGGTTTTTGTTTGGTTTTTCTTCGATTCGTTTACATCTCTAATTAGAAGACGACAATCATATTAGTCAAGCATACCAATGAGATGCAGGTGACTGGCACAGTTTCACCAGAATTTAAGACCTCAATAACCAAATCTGCATAAATGGTGGTGCCAATATCATGATCTGAGACTCGTATGATCGGTGGAGAAGTTACTGCTATACTAAAATTAATATCATCATCCGGATATTGCTGATACAGTTCTGGTATTATATATCTCCATCCATCAGTGTTCATCAGTGACTGATCAGGTATTTTATCAACGGTCCAGTGCATATAATTTGCCTGATCAAAAAAAAAAACATACATGCATTAGTTTAACAATCCCATTGCAATTAACTACACATTCTAGGTGTAATTTTCAGCAATGTCAGGATCAGCTTTCAGCTTAACAGCTTTTGGTTATGTTTAACTTGAATCAAGAGCAAAGTTAGCTCTCGGGATTTTGAAGATTATTGTGGTATCAAACTTTCCTAGCGGATCTTCAGAACCCAGGGCTTAACTCAGTGGTTCATACAACTATCTTTAAAAGGTGGTCCAGCAGGTTTGAGGTTTAAATCATAGTATCTGCAACTCCTTTCCCTATTGAACAGGTTTTGAATATGATTGCAGTATCAAACAGGTCTCTTGTTGAATCGCAAGAAAATTTAAGATTCAAACTTCACACCACAGAAACTTACATTGAAGTACACCAATGCAGCAGACTTGAAAACGTTTTGATGTAACGAAATCTCAACCATTTTTGCTGAATCCGTGCAGGAAAGGAAACTTTGTGATCCTTTAACGTAGTAGTTTGAAACTGAACTTCCATCTGCTCCATTGAATAAACCATTAACTTTAAGCTCCACGGAAGAATTACTCAACAAGGGGTCTTCCACAAAAGTAACATTTAATGCAACAACACCATTAACTTGCATTTGTTTTGGAAGTGATTGTAATTTTGAGTCAAGCTTTTTTATCCCTTCTTTGATATTCTTGGTAATAGCATCTTCAATTGCAGATACTATTTTCCCTTGGAAAGCATCAATGATCCTGGATAATGAGATGAATAAATGCAATAAGCATAAAATATCCAGAAGATCAAAATGGGAAATAATCAACCACAGAAGCGGATCCATTGGACACCCTTAAAGATTAGAAAACAAGAAAATTTGAAAGAAAATTTTCCCTGGACACTCAAAAATTTTCTCTAGACACCCTTTTAGTAGACAGAAATGATAATTCCGTTGGCTGTTCTTCTTTGAACACTCCTGAAAAAAATCATGAATCTGCCACCAATCATCCAAGAATCAGATTACATACCCTTGATACAGCCAAGATGCGCCACCATTCACCTTTATGGAGATATCTTTCACATGACATCCACAGTCCAATAACAATAGCTTGAGAGTTCCTTCTTGGTTTATTATAGCTGCATTAAGCCAAATTACCATGCCTTGGACCTATGCAGAAGCAGCACACAATTCCTATGAACCAGCAAGCATAAAGAATAGGTTTACAAAGCATCTGAACAATCAAAGTTTTATCTGATTCTAGATGTCCATTAATTTGAAAAGCAAGAGTATTTTTTGAAAATAAATCAATATTATTAGAACCCGGAACTAGTTCAGTCATATAACCACCATAAAGAGATAGCATCCGACAAGTTTAGGGTTCGAATGCCAGACCTGCAATCCTTCCCTTATTCCCATGTTGCAGCCTCCTATGTGCCAAAAAAAAACCCATATTGTGCAAGCCACAGGTTCCTATGACACTTATTGCATTGTTTAAATTCATTAGGCAGATTTATGCCTATAACATGGATAAGAGATTGAAAGTGCCAAATCAACTATTTGCAGATTGCATCAATTACCTACATATTTCATCATTGATGCTATAGGCAATGTTTCTACAAATTTTAATTTCTGCTCTATCTCTTTACTTCAAAACCAAATCACATCAGTTTGAAGATGCTGAATTCTGTTGAAATCTAGACAAACTCCTATGAATGTGAAAAATAGACCGGATTAGTCGATTCGACCTGGAATTCATTGTCAAGTCATCCACAACTGTTTGTTTAGTCAAACCAACAATTCAGTTTGATCGAATCGTCTAGTTTCGTTTGTTTGCTGTATTTACAGATTGGTCATCTGCCATCCAAGAGTTAGAATAAGAGTAGGTTCTTTGATACAAGAAGATATTAACCAAAACCAGACAACAGAATGAGGGGTTATCAAATGGCATATCACCAAAAACCAGAAAGAAACTGTGTAAATTCCCAATTATAGAGTATAAAACTATCATCAGTTTAGGATTACATAGACAGATTAATCAAATTGAAACACGGATTCAAGCAGAACCTTCTTTCCAAGCTTAATTAAACCGAAAGATTCAGTTGGTTCATGCAGCGCTCGCATTCAACAGGTTTGAAGTTTAAATACCAACCTTTTTTTAATAAAGTGCAAAGGCAAAAAAAACTGTTATTCCATACCTGAACGGTAGCAGTTCCATGATCAGAAATAGCAATTGGGACAAGCCAAGTTTTGTAAGAATACCTCCAGTCCATATTCATATTAGCAGTAGCATCAGAAGCAACTAAACTAATACCAGAGTCTCCAGTTTCAACCAATGAAGAAGCAACATCGACACTATGAATTATGATATTAGATAGACCAAGAAGAACCTTGCCAATAACTGGGATTTTCACTGACTTTTCAATATCAGACAGCTGAAGTGGAACCATAGAAGAAATAGCTTTCTCAATCAGCAAATTCTTAGCAAAATCAAGACCCTTGTTGGATATAACACCAGATATGTATCCTTCTTGGTTGGATTCAACAAGGGTACTTGCAGGAATGAGTAGAAATGAAAAAACTACGATGAAGGATATAGCTTTAGCCATGGATTCAGAAGAGATTCAAGCATGAAAAAATCACAGCTTCTTCAATGAATTGGTAAAATTATGGTTGGTTTCTTGTAGTCAGAACCAAGGAGGATTGCTTCCAAGACAAAACCTTTTTGGGTGATGAAACTATGAAAGCAACTGGTAGAATGATGAGTATCGAAGCATAGAAGTTGGTTGGTGATATGGTTCAAGTACTTTGGAGTTATCTTCATTATTATTAAAAGTTTGATTTGGGAGTTGGGACACTTGTGAGAAGATTTGACCAAAAAGCAGGATCCACGTCCTACTGACTGTTACTTTATCTTGTTAAGACAACCATAGAGGCATCCACGCACAAGATTCGCATAAACTAGAGAAAAGCAAGTAGAGTATTTTAGAGCTAGTTTGGATGAAAACGTACCTCTATACTATATAAAATATTAAAATTTATATATTTTTAAATTATGTATAGTTGATTTAGTGTAGAGTAAAAAATTTCTGGGTTCGGGTCGGGTCGAGGTTTTAAGCAAAACCCTACCCGATATATATAAAAAAATTATTTTTTAAAATTTTTATATTTAATTTATATATTTTTTTTATATATATTTAATTTAATTTTATATTTAAAAATAATATTTATTAATTTCGGGTCAGGATCGGATTTGATTTTATACAATGTCGGAGTCAGGTCGGATTCAGTATTAAAAATAAAAAATTTGTCTGGGTCAATTGTACGGATTCGGGCGAGCAAAAAACCCGCCCCATCCCGACCTTGTGCCATCCCTAAACGTACCTCTATACTATATAAAATATTAAAATTTATATATTTATATTATATTTTATATAAAAATTATGTATATTGATTAGTGTCCATATAAAAAACTAAATACATTTTTTTATTTTATTAAATACATATATAATTATTATTAAAGTTTTAAATTATTATTTTTATATTTTTTATCATATTTATATTATATCAATGTATTATATTTTATATTATCGAATCTAACTTCAATGAGATCACTTTTTGCATAAAAAAGATGTAAATAGTCCAAAAATGCTATTTGGCTTTCCATGTAGAAAATATAATATACATATATATATATATATATATATATATAGATTCTTTTTTGTCAATGATCATGTGTTTATTGGTAAAATACCGCCTTTAAGCGATTAAAACTCAAATTTTGACAACTTCAAGTACTAAAGTAAAATTGTATAGCTTTCTTAATATTTGTTGCTATGATAAAAAATAGCTTCCCTTCTCATTAAAAGATGATGATGACTTGCTACTTACTGTTACCCTCTTTTTCCCTTTCATATGGTCCTTTGATATTAACCATGAATGATATTCTTCATTTACCCTAGCAGACATGAATAGTTAGGTGTTAAGGCAAGTAAAAATCATTTAATAATCTGAAAAATGGACATCATGAAGTTTAAAAGATGATCATAACCAACTGAAGTTGAAAAAGGAAGAAAAAAAAAAAAAAGGTGTTTCAATCTGCTCAGCTCAGCCAGTTCTGTAGATGACAATGCTGATCACTGGCATATTGTGACGAAGAAAAATGGAAATAAAACCAAGAAAGACAATAAAACTCTGCCAACAGACCATCACCGTATGTTGGTAAAATATTGTACTCTTAATTTTAATGATCAAGTTCAAGTTCAGACAACTTCAACTACCAAAAATGGACAATAAAACTCCAAACAAGAAGATGCAGATTCATCCAGGGTCCTGTTCAGATGAAACAAGGAAACATGGTGGTATTTGACAAATAAACTTCTATGGCACAAGAGTGGTGTACAAAACCAATTTGAGAAATTCTTATATAAGAATCATAGTTGCAAAAGCTCACTCTCCGCTGTTCCTATTCGAATTCTTGTTAAGAATCATTGTCTCTACTCTCTCTTCACCTCTGCCGTAAAATTACAAGGAAATATACCAAGGATTCACTCGTGCGTAACATGCTGCTTAACACACACTACTATGGCAAGCACACATTGATCAAAATAGGAGCAGACAGACAACAAAGGCAAGTCTAACAATGCAATCTCATCACAAACCGAAAGTACAATCTTGCTAATCATCAAGCAGCCTACCATTGATTTTTCTGCTATCACAGGAGAACATGTGTGCCAAGTGACTGTAAATCTTCTCATTGATCAATTTAAGTGTAATGTACTAGAAAAGGTCAAACTTTGTATCCACTTTATAGAAAGTAATCTGGTGCAGGCTTTTTGGCAGGAGTACCTCTTGATTCCTGCATTTTATAATAAACCTCCAATAAGCCATACAATGCAATCTACTATATTGAAAGTGCATGCCTAGGGAGAAGAAAAACTTTGAAGAGTCACCACTTGATAAGACAGCAATCTTTTCCCTTGCAAAAAAATCGAATTCCCAATAGTTTCATGCAATTTTTTAACTTAAATTATTCATAGGCTTTTAGAATTTTGCGGTCAATTGCACATAAATTATATACAAACCTGAGGTGCTGCATCAAACACACGAAATTGCTTGTTAAGATTCTCATCCAGCTAAAGAATTGCAGCAACATTACCACATCTGCAACACATGCAAGAACAAAACCATTAAGCTATGGCATAATCAAAGAGGAAAGCTCAAATTAATAATTTACCTGTAACAGTAATTGGGAGCTGACCAGACTGTAACTATCTGGTCATTAAACATCCATTTGTATCCTTCCATAACCAACTGATGTGCACGGCATATATAATCAATGTTGTTCGTGTGGTTGAACGAAGTGACAACACTGCCACCAAACAGGAAACCAGCACCACGAGGACTCAAACCCCAACCATCAACAATATCCTCAGGGTCTGACCACAAAAGGTCACACATGGCACCGTCATGAGGTACTTCTTGCTTTCGATCAATTGTTCGAATCTGGAAGAAGCATCATGTTAGTACCGCCCATATAAACCTCCACAATAATTACCAAATAATTTAAGATAGCTTCTTTGACCTGATCCAAATTTGATATTGCAGGAGAGAGACCACCATGGACGCTAAAAATTTTGTTCTCAACAAGGGCTGAAAGACTAGCATACAGTAATTGACAAAATAAAAGATAATCAGAAAAGACCTTGTATATAGCACTTGAATATAGGTTGTGCTGCAAGTAACTTAATGCGACTGGAAGAAAAGGCATTGGGGGGAGCTGGAACTGCCAGTGGAGTATCAACTCACAGACATGACATCACAGGTTTGATACTGAGAAGTATTAAAAACCATCTAAATGGTAGAATTTTTAGGTTTTGTCATAACGCAAGACAGTACAAAAAAAATACCGAGAAGACAATAGAGTAGCCACTGTCAAAGCCCGCAATGCTTATCAAATAAAAAGAATAAAACAGGGCACTTGTTTGGGAGGCTAACATGATGAAGTACAAAACATCTGGTGGTTATACAAGGAAAGGAACTTAATCCAGACAACAAATATGAGACAGCTATACTTGTCAACTTCAGTTTAATTGTGAATAATATATTAGAAACTCGACTGCTCCCTTCACAATTCTTTACTGGCACAAAATCAAAACTTTCATTTTATGATCAAAACATCAAGATACTCTACTAAACCATCCCTATAAGAACAACTCAATGGCCACTCCACAATCTGACACATCACTGCCCCTCCAACCTGCAGGTGCCCTTGATAATTCATACTTTCTAATAATGGAAACTGGCAAACCTTAAGTAATCAAATATTTCAGTGCAATATCTCCAAACATTCACAGAACCATATTTACGCAGGCACTCATCATAGAATCCATATACCTGTTAAAATTGACAGTAATTGAATATTCCGGAAACACAAGAATCTAATAGAATAGCCAAATAAAATTGTTTAACCTGTGTAATCTGACGACTTTCATGGTTCCCTCTAATGAGTGTTATGCGATCTGGATATCTCACCTGATGATGCTCAAATTATCAGAAGAAGAAAAAAGTTCCAGTACACCTTTCAAAAAGAAAATTATAAAGGATAGTTTACCTTCAAGGCCAATAGAAGTAGAAAGGTCTCCACAGAGTTAAACCCTCTGTCAACAAAATCTCCAAGAAACAAATAATTTGTCTTAGGGCAATCACCTCCTACTTTAAAAAGCTCTTTCATATCATAAAACTGGCCATGAATATCACCACATATCTATGCAAAAGCATCAAAGAAATATAAGTATTCTAAATTGCATAAGGTTAGTATCCAAATTAAAAACAGCATCAAAGTTTCTATAAACTATTTCCAGGAAGCTTTATCCCCAGCCCAAGTTTTCCAGGAAGTAACAATGACCGAACCCTGCATAGCACAGATGTACCAACATCTTATGTTGAAGACTTACACCCATCTATCATGACATCCTGCACGCTTTAAGTTCATAACAAAGGATAGGATAGTATCAAGTTTAAGAGGGTTATAGACTTTAGAACATGAAAAGCGACCTAAATTCCCTTGGCAGTACTGTTCCATTGACATAAAATCTCATCACCCTTGCAAATATTTTCCTAACTTGGCCAAACTTCAAAGCCCCTAAATCCTACTTCCATCATTTCCATCATTGACTTCCACCATTGTTAAATTCTCCAATACATAAGTTTTTTGTTTCTTTTAACCAAATTCAATCATTCTAACAAAATCCCAGCTTCTAATTCTTCAAACAAAGACACATTTTCTTCAATCAATTCTCCTTCAAAACCTAAGCGATTCCATCTCATTTCTTGCCCCCAATACAAATGTACACAACATATCCATAAGCACCAAGCTTTAAAATGTTAATAAAATTCAAAAAGCCAAAAAACCCATTAACCAAAACAATTCAATAAATTACTATAACCCATTAACACAAAGCTAAAACCTTTACTTTCACTAAATCAAACCACCAAAGAAAACCAACCCAATAGACCAAAAAGAAAGACAGCTTAAAAAACAACAAAAACCCATATATGAGAACATGTAAATACTTACAGTAACAGGGGCATCAACCCTTTGAACATTACTTTCTTCAACAAGGATTTCCATGGCTTTAAGACAGAGGGCTTTCACTTCAGATTCTTTCAAGGGTTCACACTTCTTTAGTTGCTCTATTTGCCTGTCTAGGTCTGACATGTTTCTATATTGAGACCCAGAAAAAGTAGTTACGCCGAGATTCTAAGGCCAAAGCCTCCCAAATCTATGAATCTCGGAAGCTTTTCGTAAACTGGGGATTCAGTGAAATACTTTTGTTCGATTCCTTTTTGGGCTTTGTTTTCCGGAGGTTTGTAGTATGCTTACCTAGACCTTATTATATTGCCACGTAAAGACGGCGACTGGTGGTTTTGTGTAACGTAAAATATTAAATTTTATTTTTTTATATTATATTTTATATTAAAATTATATATAATAATTCATTTTTATAAAAAAAAAATATGAAATATATTTTTATTTTATTAAATTTATATATAATTATTATTAAAATATTAAATAGTGCATTTTTATATTTTTTATTATTTTATATCGTATTATGTATCAAATTTTAGATTATTAAATTTAATACCTCTGATATTTTTTATTTTTTGCATAAAATACATTATAATTGATCTTTAAAATAGTCAAATTATTATTAAATTTTAAGTTTTATTATTAAAATTTAAATAAATATTTTTTTCACTCAATCCTTTTCTCTAACATACTCACATTATTTAATATGTTGTGATATTATTGATAATATTATAAATTTTGAGGGAATAAAATTTTATTGATATGAAAAAGTCACGTGATATTTTATAATTGATGTCGATTGAATAATTAAAAGATATTTAATTTTAATAATTAAATTAAAAAATTTAATAACTTAAGATCATTTTAATATATGATGATAATTGAGTGGATAATAATTTAGTCTATCCTCTATTTTTTTTTACTAGTTTATGTCTATTTTAAGTAAATTGGGCCAATTCGAATCACAAGGCTATAAATTTCTCTATGAAGTCCAAATTTGGGCCGTAAGCATGTAAAGGCCTAATAATTTAGCCCATTTACTAAAAAATTGGGCTATGTTAGCCCAATATTGGCCTGATGTTAGTCAAATTTGGGCCTCAAGAGACGGGTCGAAGATCCGAAACTAAGAAACTAAAACCTCAACAAAATGAAGCTTCCAATTTTCCAAATCCAAACTCAAGGTCCCCCAATTCCTGTTATTTTCTTGCAGTTTCTCAGAAACCAAACAGAAAGTAAGTGGAATTATATCTGATCTCGAGAAATTTTTTTTTTTTTTGGTTTTGTTGATCCCAAATTTGAAGTTAAAAAAAATCTTTATTTATTTATTTTTTTGCAGGAAATTTTGTGTTAAGTCGAGATCTGGAATATGGGTTTCTTGTTAACAACCCTAATTTTTGCTGTGATGGGGATAATTGCATCGCTTTGTACTAGAATTTGCTGTAACAGAGGTCCCTCTGCTAATCTGTAAGTGCCCTTTTGACAATTTCTCTTCTTTTTTTTTTTTTTTAAGAATTAAATTTCCTCTTTTTGTTTGGATTTTTTTGGATTTAAAATTCGTATGCTGAAAGTTATAGGTTGTTCACAATCTGGTTTTGATGTTACTTTAATTAAGTTCAAATGGTTTCTTTTGATTGGTATTAATTAGTGAAATAAGCTTAAATTTGGTATTGTAAGTAGGGCTGTTAGATTGAAGAGCAAGTTAGCACTGTGAACCAGTTATTGAATTCTTTGTGCTGTGGTTGTTTACTCTAAACTGGAACGAATCTTATTGCCTCTCATTGCGTTGGATAGCAACAGATTGGTGATTTACCAAACTGATCTGCCAGGATTTCGTTATGTTTTGATATACTATAGCCTAGGCAAGTAAACAAGTCAAGCTACTTGTAAGTTATTCAAACTTGACTTGTTCATTGTCAAGCTGAGCTTGAGCTGTTCAATTAAATTATGAGCCGAGATCAAGGATGAAAAATGAAGCCGGATCGAGCTTGGTTGAGCTTTGAGCCTCGAGTTTTCAAGTAGAGCCGAACTAGAGCTTGACAGTGTATAGACTCTATTCAGCTCAATTAAGCATCTACTATAGCCTTGTTTGTCATCTAGAGTCTAGGAAGCTTTCTTCTGTTTGATTTTTGTATCCTGCCAATAAGAGTAATACCTTATTAGATTTTCCTTGTACTCATTGAAAACCATTTTCCTTGTTTTTGCATGCAGGTTCCACCTAACATTGGTCATTACAGCAACAGTTTGTTGTTGGATGATGTAAGTTTATATTTTTGTTACATTTTGTTTTTCTCAGGTAATATCTTGATTTTTAATGTAGATTCTGTTTTTAAAGTAATAGAAATCTGAAATCTTAAATGCATGATGATTATTACCATTGGATTCATTTAGCTATGTTTCCATTTCAAAATTTTCGCAAGTGCCTTTTCTTCTTCCCAGTTATGCAATGGGAAATAGCTTTTATTCATTGTATATATTTTCATTCTAATTTTTAATGGCATTAAAAGACCTAATTCTAAGTTTTTTATAAAGAACTTGTCATAAAACCGAGAATCATATGTTGTCTACCTTTTCCATTAGGTTCTTGAGCTATAAATTCACTTAATATCCATTGCTTAACCATACACTCGTCTCCATCTTGAATGCTTGTATGCTATTCATACAAATGACTTATGTCCTAAACTTGAAGCTTAGTTCGGTTGATTCATGCCACCACTCTTAATAGGTGGCATTCAACAGGTCTAGGTTCAAATCCTAGCACCTGCAATCCCTTCTATTCTCAAGTTATGGCTTTTTTGTATCAAAAATTTTTTCCCTATCCTCAAACTACAGCTTCCTTTATACCAAAGAAAGAAAAAGACTTATGTCCTGCATTCACCTCCTAGGTATGCATCTTTATCAAGTGATTCTAAGGAAATTAATCTTTGGAGCCCCCTTTTATGTAGAGCTTTAACTTAATAAGTGAACATGTCTTATTTCATTCCCTTTCTAGTTTGTAATGTTAATTATTCTTCTTTGACAGGTGGGCGATTGTATATCTTGCACAAATGAAACCACTCATTGTCCCCATTTTGAGTGAAGGAGAGTGAAGTTCTTTTACACAAAATATTCTTGAAGATTATCAGTAAACCGGCAACATGGATTGTGAATTGGCCACCGAGGAACATCTGAATTTTAGTTGCCATGGATGATTCAGTGTCTTCTTATGTTAATTCTGTATGTAATCCTTATTCAACCATGGACTTTGAATTGGTTTTGTGTTGGCACTTGATGTTATGAGTTTCTTATTTGTTATGTTATCTTTTATTCAATTTTCATAAAAATTAGTGTTGTTCTATCAGACATTATGTAATTTTGATAAAATAATTATGAAAACTGCCATAGATTGTCCTGTATTTTCCCCAAAACCATTCAAGTTTACCTCTCTGATTCTGGATCGCAGCTTCAAAGAAAAAAAAAAAAAAACAGCAATGTCCTTCATGAGTTCATTGTATCCAACATTACACTGAGAAGGCTTATTTTGTAGAGAATGTTTATTTTGTTTATAATTACATTTAACAATTTAAAATAGGTGACATGATATGAACATTACATGAAAATAAAATATAAAGGTGATATAATTTAAAATTTTAATAATAATTATACATAAATTTAATAAAATAAAAAAAATGCATTTCATGTTTTCGTGTCAATATAAATTATGATATGTAATTTTTATGTAAAATATAAAATAAATATATAAATTTTAATATTTTACATAATATAAAAATTCAAATCATCAATTCTATTTCTAATTGGTACTTGGAATTTCTTTCCTATGATTTATATTTGGTTGAATTGAATGGTTGATTAAAGTAGATATAATAAGTCAAGCTACTAGTTAGTTTTTTGAATTTAATTAAATACTTGAAATTACTTAAACTTAACTCGTTATGAGTGATTTAGATTCAACCCGATGAATATTTGAGTTATTCAAACTCAAATCAATGAGAATCTAAAATATTTTCATTAATTTCAATTTGTATAATCATTATTTTTTAAAATTAATTTCAATTTTAAAGTAATTTACTCGCATAAATTCTTGAATGTTGCTCATATCATATATTAAGAATAAAATAAAAATTAAAAAATTAAAAAGATAAAAAGATAAAAAAGGTGAAATATTAAAAAAAAAAAAAAAAAACAAACAAACGACATTATTTGAACGTTTCCTGCTAAAACCTGAGACAGTTAGAAAAATTCTCACCTAATTTTAAAGTAAAAAAGATATTTTTTTTTCTCGTTAATTTCAAATATAATATAATAATAGATATGATTATAAATAAAAAAAAGTAAAAATTATACAATTTAAAATTTTTATAATAATAATTGTTATATAAATATATAAATTTTAATATTTTACATAATTCTCATCTAATTTTAAAATAAAAAAAGTAAATTTTTTCTCGTTAATTTAAAATATAATGTAATAATACGATATGATTATAAATAAAAAATATAAAAATTATACAATTTAAAATTTTAATAATAATAACTTTTATATAAATATAATATAAATATATAAATTTTAATATTTTAGATAATTCATTAACAAAAATAATCATATCTACTCAAGGAATGAAATGTTACTTAAATCCCTCTAAAGCCCTACATCTCTCTCTCTTTCTCTCTTTCTCTCTATCTCCTTTCGAAACTTCCTTTTTTTCCAAAAATGGCAACAATTCAAGTGACAAACCTTAAGGATTTAATATCATCAACTTCTTGTTCTTCATTGTTATCTTCAAACCGATGTTTTTCTTCAAAAAACCACTTGAAACGAAGCTTTTTGAGGACGCGTCACCGTTTTGGAGGGATAAGTTGTTCCTTTGCTCCAATGGAGACTGCCAAGATAAAGGTGGTTGGTGTTGGTGGAGGTGGTAACAATGCTGTTAATCGAATGATTGGCAGCGGTTTACAGGTTGGTTTTCATCTTTTCTCACTTGGATTTTGCTTAAAGTTTGAAAATTTTAGATTTTTTGTGGGTTTTTTTTTTAACTCTCAATCTTAAAAAATGTCATTTTTAAAATTTTTTTTAACTAAAAGCTCGAAAATTTGAAGAATTGTTGTATTTTCCCCCCTTTTTTTGACTCTGAAACTTGAAAGTGAGGTTTTTGAAGTGGTTTTGCTAGTGGGTTTTAGCCTACATTTTCATTTGATGTGCTTTGATTGTTGCTCTGAGAAGTTGGGAAATATTTGATCCTTTCCTTTCAATTATTTTGTTTTCTGAAACAAATTTCAAGTTTTTCTTTATATAAACTCAGTGCCATTTTGGCAAATAGTGTTTCTGATTAGTACATAGAGCATTTAGTCAAGTCTGTAGTTTTTGTGTGAATTTTCCTTTGTGCTTATATGAGCTAAAACTTGGCTCTCTTTGGCTCCTTTGCCTTGCATTTTGGTTGGTAATGTAGATGATAATGTAAGGTGACTTGGTGGTGAACGTATCAATGTAGCCAAAATGTTTTACTTTCATGGAGGCAATTACTGATGTTATTGCTGCTTTGTGTTGGAATTAGGGTGTTGATTTCTATGCCATAAACACAGATTCTCAAGCACTGCTACAGTCTGCTGCAGAGAACCCACTTCAGATTGGAGAGCTTTTGACTCGTGGACTAGGTCAGGCAATCTTGTTTGATCAAGAAAAAGTACTGTGAATTTATATATGGCTATGTTCTTGGCTTTGTATTTGTTGATGATGTGAACCAATTGAATAAAATGCAGGCACTGGTGGAAATCCACTTTTGGGGGAACAAGCTGCTGAGGAGTCCAGAGATGCCATTGCGAATGCTCTTAAGGGCTCAGATCTTGTCTTTATAACCGCTGGTATGGGTGGAGGCACTGGGTCAGGTGCTGCTCCAGTTGTTGCCCAGATAGCAAAAGAGGCTGGTTATTTGACTGTTGGTGTGGTAACCTATCCCTTCAGCTTTGAAGGACGTAAACGAACCATGCAGGCATGTGCATTTAACTCCTTCATATGAACTCTAAATAATGGGAGATATTATAATGTAGAATCCTAGTTTGTATAGAAGCAATTTGGTTGCACACTAAAACCATGACAATAACTAGATATTCGAAATTTCTATCGTTAATTGACAAAATAATTTTGTCATATCTGTTTATTTGCAGGCTCTGGACGCTATTGAAAAGCTGCAGAAGAATGTGGATACGCTCATAGTGATTCCCAATGACCGTCTGCTTGATATTGCTGATGAGCAGACACCTCTGCAAGATGCTTTTCTTCTTGCTGATGATGTTCTACGCCAAGGGGTACAAGGAATTTCAGATATAATCACGGTCAGTGATTGTCATATTCCAAGCTATATATTAGAATGGACTGCAAGAAGATTTAGATTCTATATAACCATTCCAGTTGACCATGCATGACCTTGGTTATGTAATGACTGTTGAATAATATGTAATGATGCATGGATTATGTCATCTAGGCCCGAAATGCTGAAACCATTTGTACTTAGTTTAATGATTGTTTCTCCCATAAAGTATTTTCTGGTTTTCAGCTTAGTCTCTTGTTAAATTTCTTCCTTTCTTTTTGCAGATACCTGGACTGGTGAATGTAGATTTTGCAGATGTTAAAGCAGTGATGAAAGATTCTGGAACTGCAATGCTTGGAGTAGGAGTTTCCTCTAGCAAAAACCGTGCAGAAGAAGCAGCAGAACAAGCAATTTTGGCTCCCCTAATTGGATCATCAATTCAGTCGGCTACAGGTGTGGTATATAATATTACTGGAGGAAAGGATATAACCTTGCAGGAAGTCAACAGAGTTTCACAGGTACTTTAGTGTTAGGAGCCATTGATTTCTTGTTTTCTGATTTAACAGAAACTAACATATTGTCTTTAAGGAAAATGAAATACATTCCAAATTACATTCTTCTAATTCTTGGGCTTTCTTGTGGCCTGTAGATATCATCCAGAAATTTCACTGTTGTAATCTATACGAGTTTTTGTTCATTTGCAGGTTGTGACAAGTTTGGCAGATCCTTCTGCTAACATCATATTCGGTGCTGTGGTGGATGACCGCTACAATGGGGAGATCCATGTGACCATTATTGCTACAGGCTTCTCACAGTCATTTCAGAAGACATTAACAGACCCCAAGGCTGCAAAGCAGATTGAGAAAGTTGCAGGGGGACAAGAAAGCAAGGGTATACCACTATCCCTCAAATCATCGTCTTCTTCAACTGTCCCCTCCAGGTCATCTCCACGAAGGCTATTTTTCTAATTTTGATCTCTTGTTTCTTCCTGCTTTTTGTTATTAGCTATGTAAAGATCTTGAAGCTTATGATTATTAGATGCCATTCGTTTCTATGATTGTGTGCACTGCAATATTTAATGGGTTTTCAGTAGTCCAAAATAGATTTGTCTATGATTAAATAGCAAGAAGACTATGATAAACTATAAAAATGCTTTACACAAATTCCTGTAAACAACAAATGCCTTGGGAGGTATAATTAAATCAAAGGAAGATGGAAAGGTCAGGTTTGGGGGTAAATGACAACAAACTTTCATAAAAAAAAAGTTCAAATGCTAGCAAGTTCTGTGCACTAGTGTCCTAAGCCTAAGCTACAACAGTTGAAGTCTTTAAAACTTGACCACCAACCTTTCTTCTTTGATAGATTTGGGGATTTATATATTTATCTCATGTAAAATACTAAAATTTGTGTATTGGTATTATATTTTATACGAAAATTACGTGTTATAATTTATGTTAATAAAAAAATATAAAATTTTTTTTTTTATTTTGTTAAATCTATTTATAGTTATTGTTAAAATTTTAAATAATATCATTTTTATATTTTTATTTATATTGTGTCTATATCATGTTATCGAGTTATATTTTAAATTATTAAATTTACTTTTTGATACGTGATCGTTTCATAAGTGCCGTGATATCTGATGATACACCAATATTGGAACCTACTATAGCTGTGAAAACGCAACCAACTACAGGCGTCCAAAAATAGTATGAAAAAATGTATTCAGCGAAACGGAATGAGCCCAAGTCCCCCGGAAAAGGGCGCTGCTCGCAGACCGTGGATCAGGTCCAAATCTCCTGGAAAGGGGGCAGCCGGGCCCAAGTCTCCTGGATAGGGGCATCGGACCAGGCACAAGTCCCCCTGAAAAGAAGGGCTGTTTGCATAACCATGGATCACAGGGGATCAAGCCCTTGTCCCCTGGGAAGGGGCGTCGCTTGCATGTCAACTTGCATGGAATTTATTGGCATTACACCAATTGCACTATCAGTAGCCATTTTCTTGGTAGGTGGTTTCTGCATCAAGTTGTTTGTGCTTGCTTTGCGTTTATCTTTGATTAATCAGCAAAACGAAGAGGGTAAATGAGACTTGTGGATCAAGTATAGACTAATTTCTGCATCTCAATTTAGACATACACAAGCTAATGGATTCTTGATGGTTGAAATGCATTAGGATCAACAGCATAAAGAGAAGATGTGTAATCTTTGTTGCTCCGACACATATCCAATGGATATGGATATAAAGTTCCAACCAACCAGAAAAACTTGGAAAAAATTGCGCGTACCCGTTTCGGAATCCATACCCATGTCCGATACGGGAACATATCTATATAAATAGTTAAAATACACGGATAAACCTTAAATTACTTGTAAATTTACTAACGTTATGTTTAGATAAATATTAATAAAAAATTAAAAAAAAAGTTTTTTAAAGGAAAAATAGATATATATATTTCTTGTTTGGATAATTAAAATTAATATAAAAAAATTTTAACAATCATTGTTTAAATAGAGTGAAAAAGAAAGGAAATGATTCATTATAATAATTTTTTTCAATTATAACCTTTCATTGCTTATGAGCTTAGAGCATTTCTAGATCATAATATGTTTATTATCTTATCTAGCTTCACAATTACTATTAGATCAATTATTTTTAATCAAGTGAAATAAAAAATTTTTTTATCAATATGCATTGATAGATTTGTTAACCATTATCAAAATTTTAGTACATTATCACTTTGACTATATATTCATATAAAAACTATTAAAAATAAAAAATGCAATCACATAAAAAATTACATATGTGTAAATTATGTCCTTTTTGCACCAAACAAAAAAATTAACATATCACTGTATAGTTGTCCAACATAAATTTATTTTTTAAAATAAAAAATAAATATTTCCATCATAAGAAAAATAAACTTATTTCAACAATTAAAAACTTATGTAGCAAAAAAAATTTTGACATCTTTAATGACTAAATAAATCAAACACCAACCTTTCAACAACCTCCTTTCTTTTACCCAATGAGCATCCAAGTATTGCTTGTACTTTCTCGATATTATCAATAAAATATAAATAAACAGTAGTGATTCGTTTTGAGTCAATTCTTATCTCCTCCAATAGTGATTCGTTGTGAGTCAATTCTTTATCTCCTCCAATAATCATAGCCAAGTTAATTGTGTTTCAATGAAACATCTTCTTTTCCCCATTCTTCTTTCTATAATGTTTTGAAATTGTCGATATCTCAAACTATAATATATTACATATAAAAATAAAAAATTTTAAGTTAATTTAATATCTCATAAACCTAAAAAATATATCTATTCATATTCAATTATTCATCAAGATCAAATCATCAATAAATTATAAAAAAAATTTATATTAGAAAAGACATATGAAACTTACTTGAAAAAAAAATAACTTTGAAAAAATTACAAAAAGATTATGATGTGATTAAGTTTTTTTTACTAAGCTTTTGGTATTAATAAAAAGTTGAATATAATAATCTTTTTACAAAAATAAAATTTTTTTAACTTTTCTTTCCTTAGCTTTTCCCCGGGTATTAAAAAAATGAAAGCTATAGAGGAAACCAAGGGTTATTGAGTTTCCCCATCTTTCATTTCCTTTAAATTGAAAACTTATCCAAACAAAGGAAAGGTTTTTATGTTTCCATTGCTTTCCTTTATTTTTCTTTCCTTTCCTTCCTTTCCCCTTAATCCAAACATACTGTAAGTTGTTCAAACAGCTCAGCATTCTCAACCAAAAGCCAAATAAGAAGTTTCCAACATGGAAATAAAAGTTGAAAACCAATTCCACACACAACACAGAAAAACAAGAAGGGCAAGCTTGTTGTGTTTGCTGTTGTTGGTATTACAAGTATTTGATCAGTAGGTATATGGCGACAACCAGAATCACGATTCCGATAACAGCTAAAAGCATACACATACAGGAACAACCGCCTTTGGTACGCTTGTTCAAAATTGCCAGGTTTTTCTGCACTCTCTGTTACATAAAAACGTGAACAAAGGAAACATAACTCTTAGAATCCACCATGATAGTAAATAGTTCTAAATTTTAACTATTCTGGACTATATGCTAAAGAAAACACTTGCATCCCTTTGAACATGTACTATTTCAAGTAATCAATGGGTGACAAACAATATGAAAGTAAAAGAAAACGCAATATTATCAACCATTACCATATTGCTTTATTTTGCTTCATTTCATAGCAACCAAAGAATACTCGTTACCATATCGGTTCCAACATAATTCGGTAAGCAAAGTCTATAATTTCTAGTTTATGTGAGGAGATCTTTATCTATTCTAAATACTGTTTGAATGTCCATGAATTCTTTCATTCATCTCCAAAGAATGCCACCATATGACATTATCTATTGATTCTGAGGCTGAAATTCAAGACCATGATACAGGAATCCTATGTGCTAGTAGTAGGGAGGACTGAATAACTATATTAAACAGCAGTTATTGGATTTTGTTTGATTCAAAAATATAAGGAGGATATTCTGCTGTGCATATAAAATGCAAATTAATAGTAAGCGCTTTACCCGTAGGCGAGAATCAGTAACATCCACATGTTGATCCAGGTCATCCTGCACAGCGGGAGCACAACATAATGTAAAGTTCACAGAGGATGAATCAAACCTCACTAAGCATTTATTTTAATGAAATAAGAGGCAAAAGACAACAGAAGAAATAAGTAGAAAACATACAATGAGTCTGGTATGCAGATCAAGTTCTTCATTGACCGCCAATGCAATATGCTTTGTACTTACTACAGTCTCCTCCAACTTCTCAAGACCCTCATCTTGCTCTGCTTGTAAAACAGACTCTCATAAGTTGGGGAAACTCAAGCCATTTTACAAGCTAGCAGGATGCCATTTGAAACTAAATAACTTGCCTTTCATTATTTGTCGTTGAAGACCAACAAGACCAGAGTTATCCAAACCAACTGTTCTACTCATGGCATCTGGCTTAATTTCTGGCCCCAGCAAGCTATCTCTGTTAGCAAAGTTTGACATGTTGAATGCAGAAGCCATCTGATTAGCTTTTGATCTCAAATTCGTAACCATGTCCTTGCGACGATTCATCTCCTTCTCTGTTCTGTAACCAGAATACAAAGCATCAACAAATACTCAAAGTCAGCTTACCGTTCCTGATAAAACATATTCCAATATGAAAGCGAACATCAAAGTACCATAACTTACAAATATCCCAGAGGACATGATAAAAACTATTAATCCAACCTCAATTCACACGTATATGCACCTCAATTAAGATGACTTACAAGGGCTTCCCAGTAGGTCTAGACAATGTGGCCTGCAATCCATCTAGTCTAGTTCCTAAAATCGTAATCTTCCTTCTTATAGCTGATGTATGACGCTGAGTTTCCGGTCCTGATGCAGGCAAGGAAATCCTTTCAGATATCATGCCATTGATATCATCTGCAATTTTTACTGCTTCATTGTATTCTTTTACCCATGGGTCTGAAGAAGATGCCATTGACCTTAAACAAATAATAATCAAGTCAAAAGCCTTAACATCTAACCCAGAGGCATAAAACTTAGACACTTGAACATCATTCCGACAATGACACAAGAACAGATAAGAGCTAATTGAAACTACATTGTGCTTGCAAAATTAACCAAGATTAATTCTGAGAAAACCCTTTCCTTTTATCTTCACCTTTTGATGGCTTCTTCTGAAGAATCAGAAAAACAGCTTATATTGAAAACATGGTAAATATCAAGAAAATCCTCAAAAATTAAGCAATCAAATTACACCCAATTGAACGTTAAAAAAACCCAAAATTTAGCAATAAAATTAACCCAATTCGTATAAATAAAAAGGAAAAAAGAAGCTTAATTGAAAACCCTTCAATCAATTCCCAACTTTTCCAAATTTGATGAAATCAAACAAATACCCATATCAAAAAATGCAAAATTTAATAGCAACTTACAATGTGGAAAAGTAAAAATTGGATGAGTTGTTGATCAAACCTCCAAAGAAAATGAAAACCCAGAAAGGGGAAGCTTTAGAGATCCGTGAAGAGAGAGATCGGATTTGATTAAAAGTATAAAAAACAAAAATTGAAATTACCTGAATTTGATCGAAATTTGGATTGTTGAATTGTGGAATTGGGGATGGAACGACGGCGTAGAAGCTAAACGACAAGAGGCGATAGCACATGGACAAGCTGGCATTTGAATCCACGTGTCAAACAGTGATGAAAGGAATAGTGATGCAAAATTTTGGTTTCAAGTCGAACTCCGTTAACAAGGTCTTATTAATTTTAAATACATTAGAGAGTAATCGATTGTGTTAAAGATAATATAATTTAAATTTTGAATTTTAGTTTAACTTAAAATTTAATGTTTAAAATTTGATAAAATTTTAATTAAATTTTATTTTTTAATTTAAATTTGATTAGAAATAAATTTTGAATTATTTAAATTTATTTTGTTAATATATAAAAATAAATTTAATTTTTATATTAAACAAAAATTTGATTAAGTTCGTGAGTTACTCGAATTAAATATAAAATATTTTAACTCAACTTAATTAATAAATCAAATTATTCGAGTTTAAACTTAACTCAATAATAATTAAATTAAATTTTAATTTTATTCGAGTCTAATTCGAATAGTTTACGAGTACTAATATATTATTTACATTTTTATAACATATGATACGAAAATGATATAAAAAATGATATTTAACTTTAATATAATTATATCTTAATCATATCGATTTGATTAAAATATGAAATTATTCATATTATTTTCGTATTAAATAATAATAACACATTTAAAATATGATAATATTTATAATACAAAAAATTTAAATATTATTTTATTTTATTTAAAAAATAAATTATTAATTATATCTATCATATCATTTTAATATTTAAATAAATTACAAATATTTATTTTTAAATAATTTTTTATTTAAATATTAATTTAAATAAATTTTTATTTAAATAAATAAATTAATCATGTTTAATATATTATTTATATATAAACATATTAACCGTATCGCATTATTTAAATATAAATTAATTTTAAATATGTTAATTATATCATATTATAAATAATATATATAATAAATATATTATGTTCATATTTAAATAATCGTAATTATTCATATTGTGACAAGAAATATCCACAATGGACGAATTGTTCAAGGGCAAAACAGGGATTTTAAAACTAAGGAATCCCCTATATACGTCCCTCTGCCCGTCACTTATTTTTACAAAACTCAAAACTCTCTGCTCGAGAAAGTCTTACGTTTCTTGCGCTGCTGTTCGATCCTGCTCTTATTCTCTCCTTCATTGTCGGTTTATTCTCTCCGTTCTTTTCTACCTGGAGTTGATTTTTGGCTTTATGGTATAGCTGGCTTTACTGGATATGTTCCTTGATCAGGATCCTCTCGACACCAATCAAATCAGGGGAAATCAATCAAAGGATGGTAAGTTTTTGTGCGTTGGATTTGGTTAGCTTTTTTGATATATTTTAGATTTATGATGATTCATGTTCTAAGCCTTGATCTTGGGATTGTAGTTTTTCCGTACGCAGATTTGCTAATATCAATTCAGAGTAGGATTTTATAATCCTTACACAACTATAACTTGTTCTTTTATTATTTATAAGCAAGCGTTTTCTCTGAATGCAAGCAATGATAGTAGTTCAATTTTTTAATCTGTTCTCTTTCAAGCGTCCTCTGCAAGGTGTTTACTTTTATTTGTTGTTCTGATCAGATATGGAGCTGAAAGCAAGGAGAGAAACGCGTTTATGTCCACCTGAACCGAACCCATACCCTTGGTTGTTATTCAGGAACGGCCGAAGTTATAGAAACCAGTTTTTTTGCAACATAACCAAACCTGGAAAGAAACAGTTGATGAAAAACATCGCTGTGTTGCGTAGAAAGACAATTCTCCCTTGTTCTCACGGTTGGTTGTTCTTATTGGAAATTGATCAGTGTTCTCTATGGAATCCTGTGACTTTGGAATCAATACAGTTACCATCACTTGCTTTGGGGCCTAAGCGAGAGATAGGATCTTCCATATTGTCATCATCTCCTGGAAATCCTGATTGTTCGATCATAATATTTGTCAAGTTAGTTCCTTTGCTCATGTTTTGTAGAGTTGGAGATCAACAGTGGACTGAGCAGTCCGTAAGAGAATATTGTGATAAAATGTGGACTGTTTCCAAGATTCTATTTGCTGCAACGGAAAATTATACGCAAGGACTTTTGCATGGAACAAACTGGTAGTAATTAAACAAGATTTGCCAGACAGTTTTGTCATCCATTCACACGGAACCATTCCGCACTTTCAGGATCATTCAAACCATTTCCGTAGCTACATGGTGGAATCTTGTGGTGAAGTATTTGTAATTTATTTAGTACATGGAGGAAAACTGTTTGTAGAGGTAACTGGTGTTGAGGTTTTCAAATTGGACTTTTCGCTAATGGAATGGATTAAAGTAGAATGTGCCAAGGATCGAGCATTTTTTGTGGATGAAAAAGCTGCATATTCTTGTCCTGCTCTGAAGCCAGAAACTGAAGGGAATCGCATATTTTTCACATTGAGTGACGACAAAAGCTTGTATTCAATCGACATAGAAGAGAACAGTGTTTCGGTCTCTTTGCCTTGTACAGATCTAAAACCACCATGGAGCACACCTATTTGGGTAATGCCAGACTTGAGGTAAGATAAAATACTAGTGTCCTTTGGTTAATATATATGTTAATTATTTCATAAATGCATCTCTTTAATGTTACTCTTTTCGAATATCTACAGTCTAAGTCCTGTTCATAGAAGGATGGAGAAGATAGAGCCTGACCAAATCGAAGACATTGTGCCATGTGTGGAAAGTAAAAATAAAGAAGAAATAGGATATTTTTGCGAGCTTCCTTTGGATCTGCTATCTTCAGTCGCTAGCTGCCTTGTGTTACATGATTATATGAACTTTCGCGTTGTTAACAGAATCTGCCGGTTAGCAGCCCCTCCAATCCATTGGCCAGCCACCATAAAAAAATTGGTGAGACATTCTTTAGCCCCATGGCTTATGGTTTGTAAAAAGGGCCAAGATAAATGCAAGTTTATTGATCCATTGCATCGAGAAAGATATTTAATGAATAATCCTAACAAATCAAGTGACGTCAGAATGTGCTACTCAAAAGAAGGTTGGTGCTTAATGTTACAAGGGGAATACACCATTTTCTTTTGGAATCCCTTCACAAAAAAAATCATTCTACTTCCGAAGCTTCCCCATGAATTTAAAACAATTATAGGCTGTGATTTTTCATCTTCACCGGATTCTTCAGGTTGCCTTCTTGTTTTGATTTACATTTTGGTAGGAGAGGGACACTGGGAAAGTCTTTATGCTTTTAAATGGAAGGATTTCAAGTTGAGTAAAAACAATAATCCAGTTTTCTATAATGAAGAGTTGTACTTGCTTGGTTCAGAGGGAAACCTAGGAGTGTTTAGGGAGGGTTTTATCTGGGAAGTTCTTGACAAGCCTCAAAGGCCTTGCAAGTCATTCTATCAAAGCTTTCTTCTACAAGGAAATGGCAAGCTTCTATCTGTGTTTGTGGGTTTCATGGGAAAGTGGCTCAAGGTTTTCGAGTTGAATCTCTCTACAATGAATTGGGTTGAAATTGACAATGTAAGAGATAAGGTAATCCATGTTAGCCGTATATCATCTTTCTCTACCGCAGCAACAACAGAAGAAATGAGGAACACAGTTTGCCTCCCCAGGTTTTATGAGGATAACTTGGTATATTATTCGCTAGATTACAAAAAGTATCATTTTTATGGCTCAAATGTTGTTATGGAAGACTTTTACAACACAAAAGAACAATTATATAGTGGTTGGATTGAACCAAGGTGGTAGTAAATTATTGTTTGATTAGAACAACTCTCTTAATAGTATAAATAATTTTTTCCTTTGTCATTTCCTTTTTAAGTATTTTCTATGGATTAGTTCTAGAATTAAACCAATTCTTAACTTTATTCAATTCAGATATGTTTCATGAATCATCAGGCTTACGATTTTCAACAAAAGAAAGTAGTCACAACCAGAATTTCCAGAACAGCTAGTTACATACAAATGAAAACCTTATTAAGACAGACTTATCAAGCCTTCATGCTGTTAACTTGAGTTTGTGACATCTAAACAGTTACAACATAGTAATTAACAATAAAGAACGAACACTAACAACCTATAGTGCCATAAAACGAGCGAGCTATGTTCCATACTCACATGTTGGAAATTAGCTCTGTTAAATTTTCAAACTATAAAACGTAACAAGCTATTTTAAAATTAAGCAGTCAAGACTTTCCACATGCTTTGTTACATACCTTTTGTTTCTGCTTTTTTTTTGCTTTTTCTCTCCCAATTTCATAAGCAGCCAAACAACTAAATAAACCCGAAGAAAAAAAAAAATATACATCCATAAATTAGTCAGGCAAGACAGTTGAATTCATATGAAATAGACAGCAATAAAGATTCTCCAATATCACTATCTAAAGAAAAGAAAGAATGTAACCTTTATTTACATCTTACAAAATAAAAAGAAAGATGATGCAAGCATTAAGCATAATGTGAAGTTATTCTCATGCTTTGCTACATTAAGCCAATTTCTGCAAGGCTAAAAATTCACAAGTATACCTGAAATTAAAAAAAAAAAAAAATGAAGGATTGATTCTTTCTCATTGTCTTGCACCTGCAAAAAATAAAAGCACACTTGTGCCATTGTCATTACTCAAGACGAAATCAACTGTAAATTTTGCTATCGTTGAAATTATTAACTTGCAAGATCAGATTAAAAAATCATTAAAGGTTAAAGAAAAAATGCTTACATTATGAACTCTTTCTCTTTTGCATGTGTTATATAAAACAGGACAAAGATTTTACTAAAAATGTTCTAAACAACGTGAAGACATTAAATTAATATTTTAGCATACTCATCAATTTATAGGATTTTTTTTTTATTCAAAGGAAGGCAACACCCCATTACATGGAAAGGAGGAGAGGAGGTCCGGTTCGAACTCAAGCTTTAATTTCTTCCTTAAGGTTTCTTGTGCCACTGGCCATGAAGCGAAAGACAATTTTATAAGATATTTAAATTACTAATAGAGGATAATAATTTTATCACGTTCTATTCAAAATTCTATCAATCCATCATATTGCTAAAAGGAAAATAAATAATCGGCAAGTTACCTCGTAATGAATTTGTTCATTACAAGAAAAATAACTCTTCGTGGGCCCAATTCTAACAACAGAATGTAAAGAACAGAAAAGGCATATATTGAGACTATGAAGCATTTATACCCGAAAACCTCGATCCTTAATTGACCCATCTAATTATCAAGAATAATAAACTGAAAGAAAACTTGATAAGATACTTAAATTGAAATAAATAGAAAAGAAGACTACCGTTGACTAGCTTCATGACATCAATTCAATCATGAGAGTGAGGAGACAGATTCTGGACTTGACCCGTAATAAAAGGCAAGTGGTCAAATGTCCCTTTCTCGCTGCCTCACCATTCGTTTCTTCATCGTCGATCGCAGTTTTCGTTGGCAGTGATTCCTTCCTCTTTTCCGTCTCCTACTTCTCTTTCTCATGGATCCCTTTTCCCTTCCCCTTCCCCTTCTATTTCTTCCTTTTTTCAGTGCCGTTTGCCTAAAGAAGCTTTCGGGAAGCTTCAGTTTTAATTTTTTGTTAAATTGCAACGCTAGGAATTCAAAATCTGCTTTGTACGCTTGAATCTTATCCATGGCCAAGCAAATTTTTTCTTAAATTCTAAAATTTGTAAAAAAAAGGTGTCAAGGAATTAAATTTGAACACGTGTCAACTACAGTACAATTACGGAGACTTTCATCTATGTATTATTTAGATAATAGTATTTATTATTTATAATCTCACATCATTTGTGATTATTAAAATAATTTGGTGCTTTATTCGTAAGACAAAATAAGAACATTAGTACATTGATTAGGAAGAAGTAAGAATGTAAACAAACAGAATTTTAATTAAATCGTTTGTAAATATGTTTAGTTTTTATTTGTTTATATTCGTTTATTAATTTTAATAAATAATTTTAAATAATATTTTTATATTTATTTATTAGTATATTAAGTAATTCATGAATTTAATTAAAATTTTATGTTTTAATGTATTTTAATTATTTTAATTAATAAAATATTTCAAACTCGAGTTTGAGCACAAATAATCAATTTTTTATTGAATATAAGAATCGAGTTTATTTTTAAATAATAATCGAACCTAATCGAGTGAGTTCGAGTAACTCGATTTCTATCTTGAGTCGAGTTCAAGCTAAAAAAATAAAATTCAATTGAGTTTAAGCTGAATTTCGAACTTTAAATTTCAAATCAAACTCGAACTTAATATTGTATTAACTCAAATTTAATCGATTATGTCGTTAGTCCTCACAATAAAAAAAAAAATCACCTAGATTAGAAAAATACCAATTACAAAAGCAATGTTTGGTGAAAATTTTATTGTAATGACTTGTATTTTATAATGAGACTTAAAGCCTATATAGAGAGAGGTAAACTGTTACAAAATAGAAAATACAATAAATAAAAATAATGATTAAATCAATTCTTATAATCACAAAATTAATATCTAATATTATATAAATCAATATCAAATCAATCTAAAATATTATTGAAATACTACTAGAATAATATTATAAATCTAGAATATTACTAAAACATTATTAAAATATCATTGACACCCCTTGCAAACTCAATATGGTAATGTAGAGGTCAATTTGTGTTTGAAAACTTGGATAAGAAATTAACCAGGTGGATGTGATTTGGTGAAAATATTTGCTTGTTGATCAACACTAGTAACAAGAACAAGTCAAATAGTATAAGCAAGCAGATGGTGATAAATGAAGTAACAGTTAATTTTAATATGTTTAATGCACTAATGACAAACATCATTGTGAGCTATTTGAATGATATTTTGATTGTCACAAAATATAGGAGTACTAGAGTGATGAGAAATACTTATATCTTAAAGTAGCCATCGTAACCATAAAAGTTTTGATGTGGCATATGCAAAAGCTCGATACTCAGCTTCAGTGCTAGAGTGAGACACCATAAGTTGCTTTTCACTTCACCAAGAAATAAGAAAAGAACAAAAAAAATAGCCTATGGTAGAACGACGATCAATTGGATCTTTTGACCAATCAACATCATAATAATAATGCAAGCCAAAGAGGAACTAGAGGACAAATACAAAGCATGGAACATAGTACGCTTAACATATCATAAGATCTAGAGGACAGTAGCAAAATGAGTAGATCAAGGAGCAGAGAGAAATTGAATAACCAGATGAAAAACATAGGCAATTTTTGAATGAGTAACTATCAAGTATACAAGACTACCTACTAGAGTTCGATGCAAAGAAAGGTCTGAAAATAGCATACCATCAAAGGAGAAAGCTTCAATTTTGTTTAAGTGGTGATGATGCAATCTGGCTATTAGTTAAACTTGCTTGAACAATAAGATCATAAGCATAGTTTGTTTGAGATAAATGTAAACCAGTGGAATCATTAGTGACTTTAAGGCTCAAAAAATAACTTAAAAGACCAAGGTCTTTCATCTCAAACTTAGAATGAAGAAAAGTCTTCAAATCTTGAATACCATTTGTATCATTACTCGTAATAATCATATTATCCACATAAAGTAAAAAAAGAGTAGTACCATTTTTAGTAATTCGAGTACAAAGGGTAAAATCATTATTACTAGATGCAAAATCAAGTTGTGAAACAGTGATACTAAACTTCAAGAACCAAACTCTATGGGCTTACATAAGACCATATAAAGCATGTTGAAGATGACAGACCATATTGAAAGGTACAAATAAACCATGAGGTAACTTTATATAGACTTTTCAATGAAATCACCATTTAAGAAGGCATTTTTAACATTCATTTGAAAAGTTGACCACTTTTTAGTTGCAACAACAGCTAATAGTGAACGAACAAATGTGAGACATACAACTAAAGCAAAAGTCCCTTCATAGTCAATGCCATATTTTAGTGTAAATTTTTTAGCAACAAGACTAGCTTTGTAATGTTCAACTGACCCATTAGATCTAATATTAATCTTATAAACCCACTTATAATCAATCATTGACTTATCATAAAATCATTCAATAATATCCTAAGTATAAGCTTTTTCAAGAGCTTGAAACTTTTCTACCATTGCTTGCTACCGTATAAGATTAGAGATAGCTTCACGAAAATTATGAGATTCATGTAACATGGCTAAAGCATGTTAACAATGAAAATCATGAAGTTGAATGTTAGGTTTCTTTACTTGAATGAAACAACGGAATGGAGGCACTATGTATGGGATAAGGATAACTGTATCAAAAGGAGCCTCAATTAGATCAAACATAATAAAAGTGGAAGAAGATAGATCATTGTTTAAATCAGAAGCACTTATAACAATATCTTTATTTGAAAAAAAATAAAAAAAATGAATATGTAAAAAATACATGAAAAAGAACATGGTGAATGTAATGAGTACACATTAGTGAACTTTTTATGTTCCCAAAAAACTATATGTATTGAAATGTTAAAATGTTTAAACACTGAATCATAACACTTATATCCTTTGTGTTCTATACTATAACCCAAAAAATAACATAATCTAGCTATAAGTTTAAGTTTAGTCTTTTCATGAATAGGAAGTAAAACAAAACAAGCACATTCAAAAATTTTGAGAGAATGATAATCATGTATCTTATTGTATAGACATCCATAGGGAGACCGTGTGCCTAATACTAGTATAGGAACGCGATTAATAGTATAAACAACAATGAGAGCAGCTTCACCGAAAAAATGTTTAGGAAGAAAAGTGAAAATGAAAAGGGCACAAATTGTGTCAAGAATATGATGATGTTTTCTTTTTGCTCGACCATTTTGTTGTGAAGTATATGGGCATGACCTATGAGGAGAAGTCTCATCATCTTTTAACAAGTTATGAAACTCAATTTCTCTATATTCAGCGACATTATCAGACATAAAATTTTTATTTTTCTAAAAAATTAAGTTTGTATCATGTTATTGAATTCATGAAAATTTGATAAAAGTTAAGTTCTGTGTTTAAATAAATATATCCAATTATAACAAGAGAAATCATCAATAAATATAACAAAGTAACGTGAACCTTCTAAGGTTGGTGTGGGAGTTGGACCATAAATATCATAATAAACTAAATCAAAAGGAACAGATGAGATAAAATCACTTTTATTAAAATGTAAAGCACTTTACTTTCCAAGTTAACAAGACAAACAATCAAAAATATCATGAGAAACATTACTTAAGACTCTAGTGGAAGCAAGTGACTTTATTCGAGAAAAAAATGCATGTCCTAGCCTAGAATGCTATAAATTTTAAAAAATTGAAGAGTTGGTTGTTTGAGACGTAGTAGCAGTAAGTAAGTGTTATGAAATTTTTAAAGTTTTAAGCTCAAACAGTGTTCCAACCTTATGTCTTGTCCTAACTTTTTGACTTGTTTAAGGATCCTGCATAATATAGCCATATCATTATAAAAAATGCAAATCAAGACCAAGGTCATAAAGTTGGCCAACAGAAAGTAAATTTAAGGTAAGATTAGAAATAAGATAAGTGTCAGATATACATAGTTTTGAGGTTTCAATATTACCAATGTAACTAGCTTTGAAGACAAATCCATTTGCTATTTTAATGATTAGACTATTCGGTATAGGTATCTTGCTTTTGAACAAGGAAAGGTCAGTAGTCATATGATTTCTACAGGTAATATCAAACAATCAAATATTACCTGATATGGCAATAGACATGGCAAAAAATGAGATTGAGATAATACTTGATTGAATAAAGCTTAAAAATCAATGATGAAAATTGTAATAGTCTAAAAAAAAAACTTAAAAATATTTAGTTCAGTGGTTGTTATCGTAGCAGTCCTGTTTATGTGAGGATCATAAATTAGACTACTATTATAATGACATTTAGCTCTATATTTTTTAACAAGATGATTAGTCCTTTCACATTATGAACAAGACTTGTGAAAGTAAAACTAGTACTTTTCTAAGAAGCAGCAACAACAATAGTATCAACACTATGAGTCTGACTCATACCCAATCGAGTTTTCGTAGATATCATTTTTATAAGAGCATTATCCATAATTGGTAAGAGATATCGGTGCAAAAGTGAAAACTTGGTATTCTCAAATTCATCTTAAGTATCATTAGAAATTGAATAAGATAAATTTGATTTCGATAAATAATAAAATTACCAACATTACTTTTATCGTTGAATTTTGGCTCAGAATTTTCAACCCTGTCCTATAAATATTGCATTTTAGAATGAAAATCATCAATTGATTGACCTGATTCTTAACAAAGGTAAGATAAAATGGTCAAAATATGATATTGATGAGTAAGGGTAGTAAAATTGTATCGTGTGATAAAAAAATCTTAAACATCTTTAGTAGGTTTAAATCACCCAAAATGAACATTGATAGAAAAAACCGTGGTATTGGCGAATCATATCAGAATTCAATAATTCTTACTTTTCCATTTCTCCAGTCGATCTACAAATTTGTTATCGAATTTTTCTTATTTTCTTTCTAGTGCTTTGCATTCTCCTATAATAACAAGCCATATTTTTATGCCCTTTAAATAACTACACATAACCATAGCCCACCTATTGTAGTTTTTTCTATCAAGGATAATAGAAATTAGTTGTACATTTTCTCATTGAATACTTGCCATTAAACTCTTAAAAAAATGAAGATTTAGAAAATTATGAGTATTGATATAAGAGATGAATATTGAAGATGGGAAAAGAAACCCAAAAAATTGAAGCATGGAAGCATAAAATGAAGTTTAGAAAGGAGAATAAACTAAGGATGAGAATAAACAAATATTGGTTATTCCAAGATGATTCACCTTCGAAATGAACCATAAAATAGCTCTAATACCATGAAAATATTGTAATCATTTGTATTTGACAATGAGGCTTAAAGCTATTTATACAAAGGTAAACTGTTACAAAATAAAAAATACAATAAATAAAAATAATGATTAAATCAATTCTTATAATCACCTAATCAATATCTAAATCAATATCTAATATTCTCTAAATCAATATCAAATCAATCTATAATATTACTAAAATATTACTAAAATAATAGCATCAATATGAAATATTATTAGAATATTATTAGAATATCATTGACATTTGTGACCCTTAACCCTTCTCATATCACATGTGGGCTCTGTGAGGTTAACCTTTTAAACATGTAGTCGCTTAACAATAAGCTCAATTAGGTCACCCTATGCCCAAAGTTCCTATTACAGTCCCCTTTTTAACCCTATCTCATTCTAATACCAACCCGCACCAACACCCATTATTTATTGCCTTTCTTTTGCTTGCAAACCTCCCTTTTTGTGTTCAATCAAAATGGAAAATTATCTCAATTTTTAACTTCTATTTTATTTTTTTATGAGATTAGATGAACTTTAACCAAATAATTATTAACATTATACGTTTGTTTCATTGTGTTAGCATGTGCCCATTTATAGTTCATTACATTCTTCTTATTGTTTTGATGAGAAAAAAAGTAGAAACAAGATTACATTAAACTTGACGATTTATATATTCGTGTCTTGTAAAATATTAAATTTCATATATTCATACCGTATTTTATATGAAAATTATGTGTCATAATTTGTATCGACACAAAAATATAAAATATAATTTTTTTTATTTTATTAAACTCATATATAATTATTACTATAATTTTAAACCATGTTATTTTCATATTTTATTTTTGTATTGTATTCGTATCGTATCACCATATTATATTATAAATTGTAAGGTAATATGTGAGACAAGCTATGAATTCACTGAAGTAGATGGGTATACTCAATCCATCACATATTGGTTTAGGTATTTTAAATGTTAATGATATATTTATTTATTTATTTATTTTATTAATTTTATCCCATGTTTCATATACATATCGTGGGGGAGATAAAAAGGAATTGATCCATTTCTTCTGTTTAAAATTTGAAAAACATTCATTAAAAAATTGTCAATAATTTTTTAAATAATTGTTTACGATTTAATACTTACTTAAAATTTAAAATTATTTTATTTTAGTTTTTACAAGAACATAATTTTGTATAAGATTTCAACTTCAAAACAATTGAAAAGCATAAATATTTTGTAAGCCATATAAATGCGAAAGATCATGATATTATTGAAATTCTTAAAAAAAATACACACATGTAAATTATCATGTACATTATTTAAACATCTAAAATCATTAGTTTTCTTAAATAAATAAAACTTATCTTAAAATTATATAAATCTCCAAGTGTATAAAAATGATAAAAAAATAATATAAATTAAAAAAATTAATTTGAAGTGATAAAACTTTTTATTTCTATTTTAATACTTTATTGGTGTACTTCATAATATTATTTACAATATCTTCTTGATGTTTTTTCTTCCTCCAATATTATTTATTGTATATGTTAAATTTTATCTATTTTTTAATTAAAATTTTTATTTTTATGATGATTCGATATTTTAATTATATATTAATATTTTACATATATTTTGAACATATAAAAATTCAATAATATTAATTTATATTTTTATTTAAATTTAAATAAAATAAAAATAATTCATGCATTGCATGAGTAACAAGTTAATATTAATATATAAAAATAACAAATATGACATTGATAGAAAATTATAACATAAGTTTTATTGAGTTGAAATTGTTGTAAAATTATTATTGAAAATTATTGAAAAATATAATAAAAATTTTTATTTTTCCATTAAATCGACTTACTTTATACTGATTTAGTTTTTTTTTATTATATTAAAAATAATTTGATCAATTTCGATTACATTTTAAAAAAAATTGATTAAATTAATTTTTATTTTTAAAACCAAATCAATCAAACCAACCAATTATTGGACCTTAAAAACTTCTATTTTTGGGGGAATATGAGACAAAAATCATGCATAATTATGATTTACAGTTTAAGCTTTTTAAACACATGTTGGCCCAAACTCCACGTGACAAGAAAATAAATAAATAATAAATTATATTTTTGTAGTCTTTGCGGTGGTTTTGTTTCTATTACATTTGTTTTTAATTTATGGAAAAATAATAAATTGCATATTTGTGTAAAACCAATTTATATTTTTTAAGTTTTATAAATAAAATATTAATTTATTTAGCTAACAAAATGGTATTTTGCTTTGATATTATATTATAGAATATAAAGACACTTGATAAGTTTTGTTTATGTGAACACTTATATGGATAATTTTTTATTTGACATATAAGAAATTACTTTAAAGTTTGCTTATGTGAATATCTATTTTAATAATTTTCAAATTGTTGACAACAAAATTCAATTTAGATAAATTTTTTTTAAAATTAAATAAATTTCCTAATGATCTAAAAACATATTTTTTGAATTTAAAATTTTCAATCATAGTAATAAATTATCTTTTAAACTTTTGTTTTTCTTAACATATAAAAAATTATTCAATAAATTTTGTTTATTTGTATATCTACATAAGTAATTTTTGAATTATAGGCAAAAATCTAATTTAAATTAGATAAAATTTATCTTAAAGCTTGCTTTTTTCAAATGTATCTACAAAATTTAAAATTTAAATAGTCCTTTCATATTATCTTATGTGTATATTCTAATAATGACACATATGATAACATATAATATTACTCTATTTTTTCCAAAAAAAAAATTCCTTGCCCTATTATCTATTATAGATTAAATTCTAATTTATTTTTGTACTTTCAATTTTCACTTTTTATCAATTTCAATCATCAATTGCCTTTTTTTTGTTAATGTATTCTTTTTTTACGATTGTGATTTAGGTTGAAAAGGAAACTATATTAAGGATGTAAGCGATGAGGTAAAATTTTTTTTTTTTTAATGAAAGCTCATTAAAGTAATTGTCTACATAATTTTTTTTTATGAAAGCTCATTATTACTATTACTATTATTATTACTATTACTATATTTTTAATTTTAATAATTGATATTTTAATTAATATTTACATTCTTTCATAATTATCTTACTTTTAACAAATTAACTCAAAACTATTATATGTATTATATATATTATATATGTAAATTAAATAATATTTATTTATGTGTTTATATATATTTAAATAAATAAAATTAATTTATATATTGTATGGATCATAAACTAATTGTATTATAAATCAATTACATTTTAATTAGTTATAAATCTACTTTTATATTTTTCTTTGATTTCAAATTAATTTTTGAGGAATCAAAGAAAATTAATTTTTTTTACTTTTTTTTTATATTCATATATCGATGGATAGGCGTGGCCTCTTAGGCCAGACTGTAGAGTGACAATCAGCCATCTGTCTTTTCAAGGGCAAAACAGGGATTTCAAAACTATGATTATGTGCCCTATCTCTTCATTGCCAAACTCAAACTGATCTGTTTGGCGAAGTCTTATGTTTGATGGCTGTTTTCTTTGTACTGCCTGCCTCAGTTCATCCTCTTCCATTTTTCGTCCTTCATCCTTTCTTACCCAGAGCTGATTTTTGACCTAAGATTTAAGAGATCTATCTCCATGCTGGGCATCTGTACTTCTATAGTATAAATGGCTTTAGTGGATATGTTTCTTTGTCTGGGTCCCTCTCAACACCTATCAAACTAGGGTAAAGCAACTAACATGCTTACTTGTTCATATGTCAAAGGATTGTAAGATTTTGCACGTTGGATTTGGTTATCTTCTTTTATGTATTTTAGATCTATGATGATTCATGTTCTAAACCTCGATCTGTTGTTCCTGATAGAACAATCTTGATCTTGGGTTGTAGTTTTTATATATGAGATATGAATATCTGTATATATGATTGTTTCTCTTTTGATTGCCTGGCCTTGATTCTATTATTAATAGTTGATTTTTACCGTGCAGATCTGCTAAGTTGGACATGTATTTGTGCGACTCAATCGGTGGTTAAGCTTGTTGAAGATGGAAAAATCAAGCTCAAGCTTTAATCTGCCATCTTTGTTAAAAAAATTTTTATTTACATGATAGGTATGTATGAAGTTTAAACATTTGCATTGATGGCCATTTCTGATTTCGCGATTTAGGTTGGTTTTTTGTGATTAATAGTTGCATGTTTTACTATACAAGCCTCTGAAGATTCTGAATAATGGGTGGTCAGTTGATCTGACTCCTGAACAAGAGGTCTTTTTGTATATGTTTAAAGATTTTTGTACATTGAATTTTTACAGGCTACTGATATTGCAATTGCCTGAAAAAGAAGTTCTTTTAACCTGATTTGTTCATTTTACAGGTTGCAGTGATAAAAGATGCAGATTACAAGAGTAAAACATAGTTCAGAAAATACTATACCATGAAAGACTTGGACAGATGTGATTTCTCTCCATTTTGTGGAGGACATTTGCAGGACAGATATGAAGTAAGTTGTTTGAAAATAATTTTTAGCTTTGATATATGACACCCCCTTCTGGTAGTGCATCTATCTTTGAGTATCATTTACAGATCTGCTAAATTAGCATGTATGTTATTGCAGCTGTTGTTACAGCTTGTTAAAGATTTGAAATTCATGACTTAAGTCTTGATCCGACTTCCATGATAGAAAATTTTATCTACATGATAGGCATATCTGAAATTTAATTATCTTTGTGGTTGTGTCCGATTTACGCATGATTTCTTGATTAATAGTTAGTGGCTTTGTGCTAGATCTGCTGTGTGTGTATGTGTTTGGATCAATTGTTACTACAGCTTGATTAGTTCTGATAGTTTGAAACTTAAGAGAAATTTTGTAACACTAACTTCTTTCCCTCAATTTTCACTTTAAAAACTTGAGAAATAGTGGGACAGATTTTCAAGCTCCTCTGGCTATTCTGTTCCCCATTATTCTCCATCATTAAAAGAGAAGCACCTAATATTGAGTTGTTTTAGCACTAAAATCAGTTGGCCAATTTCCAAATTGGGAAAAATACAAGAAAACAGAAAACCTCCTATCAATAACATCGTAGCTGACATAATAGTTCATCGGAGCAAAAATTTTAAAAATTGAAGATCTTTAGATGCTGCATGAAGCGACCTCATATCTCACAATCTGTTACAACTACTAAATCAGTTCATTCTACTAATAAGATTTATTTGCTGCTGGAGCTGCAGTCTGTTACAGCTACTAAATCAGAACATTCATACTATTAGAAGGGTTTACTTGCTGCTGGAGCTGCTGATAGAGCTGCCGCTGGAGTTGCCGACAGAGCTGCCGCTGGAGTTGCCGTCGGAACTGCTGCTGGTGCTGCTCCAAAAGATCGCTTTGCTTTTTTTCTTTCAATTTTTCTGTTGTCTTTGATGCTGAAAGAATCAAGATAACTCATACGACTTGCTATTGGTTTCGCTGGATAGAAATTTTTTGGATGCGCGGGATCTATAGCCACAGTGGTATGTTCCTTTTTAACATGCTTGTCCATCTCCATGGTACCTCATGGAATTGGCTTTTTACATCTATTGCACGTAGTATTTAGTCCTAGGAAAAGAACAATTAAGTTTTATTACCCATTGATCACAGAAAAAGCAAAGGAAAAGAAAGCAGCCTATTATAGGAGTGCTAAAAGTAAAGCATCCTAAATTTATTCCCTAAGCCCATTAGAGTATTCCATCTGCTACATTGAAATTCACAGCCAAATGTGTCTTTGTTTCAATCACTGTGTAAGCCCCATACAAAGATTCTGATCCTGTTCATACACAACATCGTCAAGTCTAATCATAGAAAAGATTCTCTTCAAGCGAACCAACCTATCCTTTGTATGGGGCTTACACAGTGATTGAAACAAAGACACATTTGGCTGTGAATTCCAATGTAGCAGATGGAATAATCTAATGGACTTAGGGAATAAATTCAGGATGCTTTACTTTAGGCACGACTAGAAGGCTGCTTTCTTTTCCTTTGATTCAGAACACTGATGGGGGAATATACTCTAATGGGCTTAGGGAATAAGACTATAGTATGCTTTACTTGTTGCACTCCTAGAATAGGCTGCTTTCTTTTCCTTTGCTTCTTCTGTGACCAATGGGTAATAAACCTTAATTGTTCTTTTTCCATGACTAAATACTACGTGCAATAGATGTAAAAAGCCAATTCCAGGAGGTACCATGGAGATGGACAAGCATGTTAAAAAGGAACATACTACTGTGGCTATAGATCCCGCGCATCCAAAAAATTTCTATCCAGCGAAACCAATAGCAAGTCGTATGAGTTATCTTGATTCTTTCAGCATCAAAAACAACAGAAAAATTGAAAGAAAAAAAGCAAAGCGATCTTCTGGAGCAGCACCAGCAGCAGTTCCGGCGGCAACTCCAGCGGCAGCTCTATCAGCAGCTCCGTCAGCAGCTCCAGCGGCAACTACAGCAGCAGCTTCGGCAGCAACTCCAGTGGCAGCTCAATCAGCAGCTCTGTCAGCAGCTCCAACAGCAAGTAAACCCTTCTAATAGTATGAATGTTCTGATTTAGTAACTGTAACAGACTGCAGCTCCAGCAGCAAATAAACCCTATTAGTAGAATGAACTGATTTAGTAGTTGTAACAGATTGTGAGATATGAGGTCGCTTCATGCAGCATCTAAAGATCTTCAATTTTTAAAATTTTTGCTCCGATGAACTATTATGTCAGCTACGATGTTATTGATAGGAGGTTTTCTGTTTTCTTGTATTTTTCTCAATTTAGAAATTGACCAGCTGATTTTAGTGCTAAAACAACTCAATATTAGGTGCTTCTCTTTTAATGATGGAGAATAATGGGGAACAGAGTAGCCAGAGGAGCTTGAAAATCTGCCCCACTATTTCTCAAGTTTTTAAAGTGGAAATTGAGGGAAAGAAGTTAGTGTTACAAAATTTCTCCTAAGTTTCAAACTATCAGAACTAACCAAGCTGTAGCAACAATTGATCCAAACACATACACACACAGCAGATCTAGCACAAAGCCACCAACTATTAATCAAGAAATCATGCGTAAATCGGACACAACCACAAAGACAATTAAATTTCAGATATGCCTATCATGTAGACAAAATTTTCTATCATGGAAGCCGGATCAAGACTTAAGTCATGAATTTCAAATCTTTAACAAGCTGTAACAACAGCTGCAATAACATACATGCTAACTTAGCAGATCTATAAATGATACTCAAAGACAGATGCACTACCAGAAGGGGGTGTCATATATCAAAGCTAAAAATTATTTTCAAACAACTTACTTCATATCTGTCCTGCAAATGTCCTCCACAAAATGGAGAGAAATCACATTTGTCCAAGTCCTTCATGGTATAGTGTTTTCTGAACTATGTTTTACTCTTGTAATCTGCATCTTTTATCACTGCAACCTGTAAAATGAACAAATCAGGTTAAAAGAACTTCTTTTTCAGGCAATTTCAATATCAGTAGCCTGTAAAAATTCAATGTACAAAAATCTTTAAACATATACAAAAAGACCTCTTGTTCAGGAGTCAGATCAACTGACCACCCATTATTCAGAATCTTCAGAGGCTTGTATAGTAAAACATGCAACTATTAATCACAAAAAACCAACCTAAATCGCGAAATCAGAAATGGCCATCAATGCAAATGTTTAAACTTCATACATACCTATCATGTAAATAAAAAATTTTCTATCAAGGATGGCAGATTAAAGCTTGAGCTTGATTTTCCCATCTTCAACAAGCTTAACCACCGATTGAGTCGCACAAATACATGCCCAACTTAGCAGATCTGCACGTTAAAAATCAACTATTAATCATAGAATCAAGGCCAGGCAATCAAAAGAGAAACAACCACATATGCAGATATTCATATCTCATATATAAAAACTACAACCCAAGATCAAGATTGTTCTATCAAGAACAACAGATCGAGGCTTAGAACATGAATCATCATAGATCTAAAATACATCAAAGAAGATAACCAAATCCAACGTGCAAAATCTTACAATCCTTTGACATATGAACAAGTAAGCATGTCAGTTGCTTTACCCTGGTTTGATAGGTGTTGAGAGGGACACAGACTAAGAAACATACCCACTAAAGCCATCTGTACTATAGAAGTACAGATGCCCAGCGTGGAGATAGATCTCTTAAATCTTAGGCCAAACTCACAATCGGGAGACTATAAATCTGCCATAATCAACTCCTTGCTAGTCAGGTATGGGGATTAGCACGGAAAAATCCAAGAAACTGAGTATCAGAATGAAAAGATTCGACAAAATCTAAAAACCTACAAAGAAATAAACTTGATAATAAAGAATCTGAAAACTTAAAAATGTAGAATCAAGATCGACGAGGAAAATGAATAGCGGAATGGTAGATTCTAACACATATTCTAAGATTCAAGTAAATGAACAGTAGATTTATCTGATAGAGTCGCAAAAGTAGAGAGTAACAGAATGTAGAATCAAGATTGACGAGGAAAATGAATGGCAGATTCCAACACATGTATAATCCAACATCCAAGTAAATGAACAATAGATTTACCTGACATAGTAGCAAGATCAAATGGAGTATTCCAATTCAGAGCGAGCGATGCGAAACAGATTTTGGGGATAGCTCAAATCGGAGCAAGCAAAGCAACAGAAAATGAGAGTTTAGGAAATATTAATGGGCTGTTGGATCGTTGGTTTTATATCTTGATGGATTGTAAATGACAGTTTAGGAATTAGAGTTAGGAAATATTAATGGGCTGTGGGATGGTTTGGGCTAGATCTTGACTGTGGGTTGGGTCAAATGTGGGCTTTGAAACGTTAATGAGAGTAGGGAATATAAATGTTGTCCATATTCCTAAAATTTTCATAGGTGAAATGATACGAAAAAAAATTCAAACAAAAAATACGAAGATATCATAATTTAAAATTTTAATAAAAATCATAAATACATTTAACAAAATAAAAATATATATATTTTATATTTTAATGTCAACAAAAATTATGATATTTTTTATATAAAACACGATATAAATAAATAAATTTTTAATATTTATAAAAATATTTTATACTATAAATACATGAATTATCAAATCCAATTGATCAAATGCGGCTGACCAATAAGCACTGATTTTCTAAAATTAAATAAAATGCTTTTTTATAAATTTTTTAAAATACATAAAAATTAAAAATAATATAAAATTTTATTCAATTTAATTTTTTTTTTCACTTACTTAAAATTAGATGCAAACTTAACATATATTTAATATCCAAATTTAATGCGAATCTAATAAAAAAAATCTATTCAAATCAAGTGAAAAAATACAATTTTAAATCAATTTTAAAATTTTTTTAATTCTTTTCAAACCAAATAAATATATTTAATACTTAAACTTAATTCAAACTAAATAAAAAATAAAATCAATCCAAACCAAACTTAACACTATAATTTTCAATCAACTTTTGATTTTCAAGATTTTTTTCTCCCGACTTTACGATCCAATTGAATTAACCTGTGAGTTCTTTTTATTTATTTTGTTTGCATCAGATTGAAGGTTAACATAACCAATCAATGCTCAAAAGAATACATGATTATAGTAAATAACAAAGGAATCTGGGGGAGGAAAAGTATAGAATTAACTCTGTTTTTGAACCATTCTTCAATGTATCTCAACATTTGAAAGTTAGTAAGTAATGTTCAAAAGTTAAAAGCAAACAATTTCTGTTGCAACTCTTTTACCAACATGGAACAGTTTGAGGGGATGGAAAAAAGAAAGGGCCAATCAACCCTTGATTAGATTAGATTGACATATGACATGAATTTTCAGCTGAAACAGAAAAAGAAAAAGAAAAAAAAATTGTAAATTAACTTTAATGGAAAAATGGATTATAATTGAAGAAGAGGGGTTGGTTGTTCCTTTGTCCCCATCTTTTTTCCTTTGGAGTAAGAATTTCACAGCACCAACCTGGGTTCACTTTGGATGATCAGAATCTGAAGTCAGGATCGACATCCATTGCCCAAGCAAACTTTGCCAGAAGAGACTTGTTGAAAATCTGTCAAGCAACATAACAAGCAATGAACCTCAATTGACTAATGCATCATCCCAAAACAATTATAGCAAATACTGTTTACCTTCTCAATCGGAACTTCGTGTCGCTTGCACCATGCAACTGTAATCCTAGGGTCAAGGTAATTGATTTTGGACGTGCCTAATGCCACAGTTTTTAGATCCTCTTTCGTCTGCATGTCTCGCTCCATCTTCTCGATCTTCGCATTCGTTTGAGCTATCTTTTTATTTATCCTGGATGTAAATTGATAAATCAATGAAAGTGTACATAGGCAAAAATTGTATAAAAGGCTTAAGAAAATGGGAACAAGTTATTGTACGCTTCAGGGGTCAAGTTCCTCTTCTGCTTCCCATCAGCATCCTTCAATGGGGGCTTCCCTTTCTTAGCCCTGTCCAAATCAATTTTTAGCTCTTTTAGAACACCCTGCAAGAAACAGGAAAAGGGTCAGCCTGATAGATGGAATTGAAAGGCACCAAATTGTGAGAAGAAATTTTTTAAATTTGGAATGACGACACAGAACATATCCTGAGTGCATTAAGTAGAAAAGACACAAGCCCTGAGAAGGAGCCAATGAAATTTTAAATAAAATATGGCTACAGACCAACAGTCTTGCCATCAATGCAAGCAAAGGCAGGCCTGCATGGATAGAACATACATAGGGAGCAACAGAATCGAGTGGTATCCGCTAGTGCCCAAAAGTTAGACCTTAATTAAAAGTCCATCAAAGTTTTCCAAGAAAATTCTAGAAAAAGTTATTACCTTGAGTTCGGTTATTTTGTCGGTCAACCTTGACATCTGTGCACTATGAGATTTTGAAATACTACGCTGATGATTACAAATGATTGCAACCTGCAGCAAGAACAATCAAAATTCTAGATGTCAAAAAGGTAACTCAAAATGGATTCTTTCATTAGCTTAACATCTAGCAAGAATTGGTCTTTACCTCTTTGTTTGCACGCTGATAAATTACTACTTTTTCTGCCACATCGCCATCTTTGGTTTCTTTATTTAACTGTCATCCAACCAAAGAAAATCCAAATAAGAATAAATTCAACAAAAATTTTAAAGAAATTAAATCCAACCAAATCACACAAGCATAGAAACACTATAAAAATGCATAAAGCATTAAAATTACCCAACAAGCAATGATATGCTATCATTAAGAATGTTACTGTAAAATATAAACTCAGTATTTCCATGTGAAGTATTGCCAGCCCTAGTCTTGTTCAAACATCAAATATAAAAACAAGATGACGACAGTCATGAAATAAATTACTTCATAAATTTCATCTGTCCACTACTTTGAAAGCTCTCATAAATTGTTTACATTTCGCTATAAACCATTCTGGTCCAATAGATTTGTCTCACATACTAAATGATGACTCACAACTAGGCTATGCACAACATACATGTACGCATGCATATTAGAGTGAAATTCATGTCTATGACAGGCTGCAACATACCATCTCATCCAGTGTAATGGAAGCATTATAGGTACGGAAGACTTTTGCTGTAAGCCCAGGCATGAGTTCCTTCAAATGGGCATTTAATTTACTTGTATCGAGCTGGTCAAAAAGATCATCAGTTTTGCTTTTCCCTGCATAAAAGAGAGAACACGCTCTTTGGATTTAGTCATATCATACACATGAATCCTAACAAGGGGTGGCCAACAACTCACCAGTTTGAAACTGTCCAATTGCCTTGTACACGGGAAGTTCAACCTCCACCGTATTCACATATTGAATGGAATCTTTACCAAGGAAATCAAACTAAATGATGAAAAACAAGAACAAATAAAGTTAACACCAGTATCAGCCAGCAAGTAAACGACTAGATGCCACAGAATTCCATAAACAACAATTTCCAACGCTTAGAAAAATAAGAATTAGGTCCATTCCAACAATTATCAAAATTAGTACAAAAGAAATGCCAAATATCTCTTCTTGGAAGCATAAACTGACGATACCTTCAATTTGTTTGGAGGAATACACTCCACATTTCCTACTTTAAGTGTGCAGCAACCAACAGTATCAGCTTCATCATCATCCTGCACATGGCCAACCATAAGATGAAGAATACCCAAAAAGAATTGCTTGAAAGCTTCAGCAGAACTCAAGATTATAGGACCCAACAACATCTTTCAAGACCAACTATAGATAACACCAATTGGCTATCCGCATCTTTCAACCTACGTACCTAACTCGTTTTAAGTCCCAATTATTTTCAGAAGGCACTGTTTTACCTGACACAGAGAAGAGCAACCTAAGATTACTAACAAGAAAAACCTAGATTAGACATGAAAAAAACCAAATACAAGGACTTGCACCATTTTTTGATTTGAAGTTGAAAGAGTCAATAAGGTTAAGAGAGGCCAAAAAGAACCGAAAAAAAAGAGTTAGAACAGCAATAGTTGCAAATGATTTAATGGATGATGCAATCCACTTTTGTCCTTTTGCTATTGCTAGGACCAGTCACTAACATTTTCATAAACATCATCAGCTATGCATATAGGGCCACCAAATATACCACCTGACCAACAAAAAATGCCTAACAAACTACATCAGCTCCAACAATCCATTTCCTCCATTCAATTCCATCCTAACCAACAGTTACCATACTTGTATACAGTAAAAAGAACACAAATAGGATGGTTCATGTTGCACATGTGATATACCTTCTCATTACCCGCCCTAAGAGCTAATTTATCAATAAGATAGGTAGCAACTGCTATTTGCCTCTTCATAACATCTTTACTTGTAAAATCCTTAGTATATGCTCCTCTGATGTTTTTGATATAATCCTGCATTTAAAGCACAGACACCTATTACACATGGTTCACTAAATAAAAACTAAAAGCACCATCAAATTGCTTATTACCTTCAGCATCCTAGCTTTCTCATATTTCTCCTTGTCACTTTGCCCCTTCAAAGAACTGCTAGCTGCCAAAAATACGTATTTGAATTCTTTTGGATTAATGGGATCATTCCAGAATGCCAGCCATGTGACAGTATTGTCATGTTTTATATCTTTCCACCTGCCAATTAAAAAAAAAAATCTCAAAGTTAAGATAACCCAAATTGAAAATAACCTCCAATACTTTCATATATTTAGAAAATGAATGCCCTCTCTCTTTATCTCTTAACCTTTCACCAGGGATTGGACATTCCGGAATTGGGGCATCCTTTCCAATATTAATGGTAATGTCACTTGGATGAATACGTCTTTTCAACTTTCCCATCTGATAAGCAACAATAAAATTTAAAAAAAATAACATAAGAATCCTGCAAATTCAATTATCAGACTAAAGCATATGATTCTCTACAAAATTTGAGTTGTCAAGAATGTCAGCAATAGTGCAATACCTTTGGATGCTCTCCCCGACCTCGGAAAAGCCCAGGTGGTTCAACTCTGAAATTTCCTACCTGCAATAAAAACAATCATCTGAATTAGCAGGAACTTCATAAGAAACAGAAAAGTGACTAATAAATCAAAAGAAAACAGTTCAATTTTAGTAGATCTTGATGAGATTGGTGGAAGAGGAGAAAAAAAAGTTATATATCAATATTACTCTCTAAAAACAGGGTAGAATGGGGATAAACAGTAACAAATTAAATTAAATTCAGAAGAAATGAAGGAAGTTTTAAAAGGGAGAAATCAAATTTATATTGAAGCCAAATATTCACCTTCTCTTTGACGCCATCAACGATAGCCCACATATACTTTTCCTCCTGCTTCAACTTGTCTTCTTTCAAAGCCTTCTTCTCCTGCATAAACAGTGACCATGCTTAATGATTATAAAATTT